AGCACAATTGGGGGGATGCCATCAGGCCCGCTCGACTTATGGATGTCCAAGGAAGACAAAGCTTTACGGATAGCACGTTGCCGGAATATAACTTCAGGCATCGTAGTATCACACCGCAATAATGACCGTAATAATGGTGGTTCCTTCTCTTGATCATCCAAAGTGGAGTTCGACGTAAAGAGACAGCCTAGAAGATCAGCCTTCTCTTTCGCGGTATTGGCCAGTGAGTCATCCTCCCTATGCAGTGGTGGAATCGAGGGCTGACAGAAATTCCCTTGGATAGTTTTGGCAAGAGACCAGAAGGCTCGAGATCCCGAAGGGAGATGGGCCAATCTCTCACCAAATCTGGCAACGTGCTCTGACTTTGCTTTAGCGATTTCCCGCTTGGACCTGGAGGCTGAATTGTATGCTTTTTTACGTTCGCCGATAGTCACATCACAGGATGTCACCGCTTCTGCCCAGGCTTTAAAGCATTCACGCTTACGGCGTAAAGCCGCTTTGCAAGAACGCCTAAACCAAGGCTGGGACGGGAGTCTCTTTCACCGCACGAAACGCGAGTACAATAAGGCGAACCTATTGCATCACTTCACGCCGGTTTTCTAAGAGACAGTGGTACTGCCTCGGTCGTGCCTGCCCATTTGGCTGAAGCCCGAAGGCAACAGCATGGCACTCCCACTAGGAAGGGATTGACTGATTGCACTGATGAAATAACCTCTGTCACAGGTTATTTCACCAGTGGGCGATGGGCGTCACGTCCCGTGTCTTTGATACGAAAATCAACGGCATTTGTCAAACACAGAATGGTGATGCACTACTCTAGAAAAAATATCAATACAATAAAAGCATGAGGGCAAAACCATAGTATAAGTTATGTATGGATGCAATAAAGTAATAGTAAAATGGACAAGGATACGAAATGTCTCGCGTGTAGTTTTCCTACCTTTTACTTGAAACTAGCATAGAGTTAAACCTATTGCCATAATAAAAACAAAAGGATACGAAAGGGAATGCTTGGTGGTTTGGATATGTAAAACGGATATATGAGAATCGTCTAACAAGAAGGTTATAGGCACCCGTGGATGATATAGTCAGGTTCGGTAAGCCTTGTCGGACATACCAAGACCGAATCTACAGACTAGGGACGGCACAAGTTAAAAGTTCCCAATAACCGACGCATGCATTGTGAATGTCATGAATGTGAATGAGAGTCTAGGTGTGTCAGGACCGTAACAATTTTTGTTGATTTTGAATTTGCCTCTTTCCATTTAATTTATATATGAACTGATTATATCACAGTACAGCTACTTTCTCATGCATTTTAAGATTAAAACTTCTCGAAATAGATAGTAGATATCTTAACAGATTTAGTTTCTAAGTAACAAAACACTACCTCGAGGGAAATTAGTAGGTATCACGCGATTTCTCAATACTGTGGCGAACTGCATGCATATATTTCATGTAAAAATTATTTCTGCGTATTTATTAATAAAAGTAAAAAAGCTGGCATAGCAGGCGGCAAAATAATAAACGGTTCAAATATAAGAGTCTTTCCTCTATCTTTGATTTTGTTTCCTATGGAGTAGAAATTTATGTTGGCGCCTGGTAGACAGTACCCGTGACCCTAGAGTTGGTGCTTTCTACGCTCAAGGAATAAGTATCGCAATACAGCGAAGAAATGCTACCAGCATTAAAGGACACAGGGAACGAACTTTTTAAATTTCTTTTGTTTCTATTTATCAATTTATAATTATTATTATGTAAGTTGAGACTATTGTAAATACTTGTTTAATTATATTTCATTAACAAGTGGCCTTTGGGCCATCTAATTCAAATTTGTACCAACGATCTAGTAGTCGAACCTAGAAACGCATACAAGTCTGAGGATTTTTTTTTTTGAGACAATTCACACCAATTGACCTAGTCCCATGCTAAGCTGGTGAAGCTTGTGTTATGGGTACTAGGCAACGGATATACATACATATATTAGATAGATAGACATATAAATACATATTTAAACACCCAAGACCTAAGCACAACACCAAATGCTCATCACATCGATGTTCGTCTCAGCCGGGGATCGAACCCGGGACCCATGGATTCGCAGTCAGGGGTACTAACCACTAGACCAATGAGTCGTCAAAGTTGTTTTTCGTATGTTTCCCTTGAACAAGGCAGAATATTTATAACATGGTACATACTTCTTACCTAATATAATCTTCTTATCTTACCAGCTGTTGCAATATATTTGTAAACATTATTATAAAATCCTTCTCTATCTTCCTTTAATTTTTTTCTGCACAAACATTACCTGTCCACATCGTATCCCTAACTTTCGTACTAACTACTAACTGACGTGAGACTGATCTAAAATTATCCTGATTCATGTGCACATTTTATTTTTCATGTACCCTTTTTTAGTTTAGTTTTCTTTTGTTCCTGTTTAGTTTTGTCTTTACAACTATTTTTGCACCTTTGCTTACCTTATCTAATTTAATACATACATTTTTTACAGTGGTTTCCTGGAAGAGATCGCTCGAAAGCGATAAGGCCGCCAGTTGCCCTCCTTTAAATTGTATTATGTTCAATTTTTATTATTTTAATGCAACGAAGTGTTAATAAATAATAGATATTACCGCAACAGAAGATAAACGAAGACCGCAGAGAATCCGCAAAAAAACGATTTTTAACAATCGATAAATTAAAAACACGATTTTTTAAAGTGAACGTGAAACGTCACATCTCTTATAACCAATAGAAAAGTAGAAAAGGCGGATTGTTTAAAAATTTCAATACATTACACAAAATTTTTTTGTAAAAATACTTAGACGCGTTTCCGCAGCAAAACTCACTTGGAGGTGTTCCAATGAAGGTCCCCCGAGACTTCTACATAATTAGTATCATCAAAAAGTGCGGTGACATTTAACACTGCTACCAGCATTGCTAAATTTCTTTGAAAAAATAATTAAAACTCCTTTATTTGTTTAAAAGGTACTACAAAGGTCATTATGGTCATTCAAAATTCTTGGCATAGCTGCTAACTTCACGCATATTCTATTTCTTTTTACTTGTAGATTGTCTTGTTCCCATTTCGATCGCGCACGCTCGGCGCCCGGCAGTTTTAAAAAGAATTCGTTAATGGGCCACTTCATACTGATAATTTTGTGTCACGGTGCGTGCGCATCGTAAAATTTCACTCTCATCAATTTTTCATAACGCGCCTAAAGAAGTATACCTTCAATAAGGGGTTATCGGTATCGTAGAGGGTAGATGAAAAATAAGGGTTGTATGTATTTTTGTATGCTGTATCATAAAAATATAAGAACAAAAAAATTTTTTTGGGGTGGATACTTTTTGTCACTTAGGGGCTTGAAATATATTAGTTAAGTATTAATAGATAGTAGCCGATTCTCAGACTTACTGAATATGCATAAAAAATTTCATAAGAATTGGTCTAGCCGATTCGGAGGAGTTTGGGTACGAACATTGTGACACGAGAATTTTATATATAGAGATAATATATAATCTAATTACACTTGAACTATTTAATGTTATATATAATTAATTATTAAGTAGGTACGAGTACATGCATCTAAAGCTTAGAAAGTGATTCGATAGAATGTTAGCAACCTTGCCCTTCTTCGCTAAGTATTACCACATCTAACAGGCCAAGGAGTTAGACAACAAATTGTTATGATTATTAACGGGTAAATTGTTGTGATATTATTATTTATTTTAAGTACATAAAAATAAAATAAAATACATAACGACATAAAACCATTACGTAACAATGCATTAGTACAACAAATTGCTACTTTAATATTATGTATTTCTACCAAACGCATGATATCATATCAGGAACGAAATTATATAGTTCAATTATTATCGTCCGTAGAGACACTTAGCGATTACACGATAAAATTATACATAAACAACTTATATGCATCTAATTTTCCTTACGCACTTACTACAGGATTTGAGGCATCTATTAAACATTCGAGAATATTTAAACCAGATGGGAGAAAATTATAATTTAACCTTACATTATCCGAGATGTAACGTTAGATCAAGACGAAATGTTTGTGAGTAGAGTACTCCGTTCCTACATACTTTATATTTTCCAGTTATCTATATAAACCGGTGTTTAAACAAGCTGGCATTGCGATGTTGTATTGTTTTTTACGTTTTAAAAATAGGTGAGGTAGCTTATTGTAACGAGTTTTTAAATACAAGCTCAGTACGTACGTAGGTAATTCAACGTAATTCTCTAGAATTAATTAAAAATATCATTATCTACGATGTAAATTTTAACCGCAAATTAATAGTAACATTTAAAACGTTTACTTCATTCTTATTCTATTGTATTAGGGTCCTTCAATCACTTCTGATTACTATTAATCCTAGATTCTTTGTTTTCTTAATATTTACAAAATTCATTAATATCGAAATAACAAATTTAACATTGTGCATTTGCTATTTAAATTATGTTACTACGCTTCGGAGATATTTAATTACTATTAAGGAAGGTTTAGGTTAACGCCAGTCGCCAAGATACCGGACGTTTTTGATTTTTTTAGTATCCATAGAGATGACGTCAAACTTTGGATCACGTGGTGGCTCAATATATAAGGGATTACTATAGGAAGTTACAAATAATATAGCTTAATGCAGGGATCTGAAAAAATAACCGAACTAATATAAATCTATTATTTTTTCTTATAATCGAACGTCTAAATATTACAAATCTATTTTTAATAAATCGATTAGGTATATTTCTAGCACTTTTTTTAAGTAAAAAAGATAGAATATGTTGAGTAGGATCCTATGAATAAATAATAAAAAATACTTGTTATATAGAAATCATTATATTTTCTTTAAATTAAAAATTATTGCAAATAAAATTCATAAAAATTTGAGCTTACTTACTAAATAATTGTATAACCATAATATTATACCCAAACCGTTTAATATACGATGCCACAAAGGTTAAAAAAACAGGAAGACTAAAGGCTGGCGTGGTATTTTTTGTATGGAGCTAAAGCGGCCGTCACATCGGCTGCCAATTGTGGGTGTACCAGGGCCAGCAATTTAATGGCACGCTCTTGAATGAAGCCAGCAGCGTCTTTTAGGTTTCCTGCAATATTCTGGGCACAACGAAGTTGCTCAGCCTGCGAGAAGACACGGCTATACAAAGCTGTAGCTTGCGTAAAGTTTTCCTTGCTCTCTTCTAGCCCTGAGTCAGCCCTTTGAACGTCACCAGAAAGCGGCTGAACGTGCTGGAGGCGTTCCGCACGCTTACATTCCACAGGTCCGGAGAAAGAGTTCGGGAAGTAATTCGGACTTCCATCTTGGTTGGACATGTTCTGAGGGCCGTCGCGTTGGTAATTACGTACAGTAGTACGGTAAGGACAGTTTACCGGCAGCTGCAAGTAGTTGGCACCGAGACGATGTCTGTGTGTGTCACTGTATGCGAATAAACGGCCTTGCAACATTTTGTCGGGCGAGGGCTCGATACCAGGCACCATATTGGATGGACTGTAAGCGGCTTGCTCTACTTCAGCGAAGTAGTTCTTAGGGTTCCTGTCGAGCACCATCTTACCGACCTCAATAAGGGGGAATTCACCGTGCGGCCATACCTTTGTAACATCAAACGGATTGTATTCATAGCTCTCAGCCTGTTCCAAGGTCATAGCCTGAATGTGTAGTGTCCATGAGGGAAAATCGCCGCGACCGATAGCGTTATATAAGTCCCTAATTGAATAATCCGGATCGGAGGACGCAAGTTCAGCTGCCTTGTCTACAGGCAAGTTCTTAATTCCCTGGTTGGTCTTAAAGTGGAATTTCACATAATGGGCTACCCCTTGGTCATTGATCATTTTAAATGTGTGGGACGCGTATCCATTCATAAATCTGTAACCGTCAGGGATACCTCGGTCTCCGAACATGTATATCAATTGGTGCATGGTTTCTGGACGGAGAGTCATAAAGTCCCAGAACATATCGGCGTCCTTTAAATGAGTAGCTGGATTACGTTTTTGGGTGTGGATAAAACTAGGGAAGAGAGTTGGATCTCTGATGAAGAATATGGGAGTGTTGTTGCCCACTAAATCCCAGACGCCGTCATCGCTGTAGAACTTGACGGCGAAGCCACGAGGATCACGTACCGTGTCTGCGGAACCGCTCTCGCCTCCGACAGTTGAAAAACGAATAGCAACGGGGGTCTGCTTGCCTACTGATTCAAACAATTTCGCTGCACAGTACTTTTTTATGTCCTTAGTTACTTCAAAGTAACCAAATGCTCCTGCACCCTTCGCGTGTACTACTCTCTCAGGAATACGCTCTCTATCAAATGAAGATATCTCATCGAGGAATTGAGCATCTTGAAGTAAGGCTGGTCCATTTTTGCCCACTGTTTGAATCGCTGTCTTCACACCAACAGGCGCTCCATACTTAGTAGTTATAACACCAGGTTCACCCTAGAACAAATCATTAATTTGATTTAGTTTGAATTCGTTGAAAAAATACTGCATAACTTAAAAGGATTTGGTATATTACAAAAGATATAAAAATACTTTGCATAACAATTAACATTATACATTAATTGATATGTTATCAGGTTAAAAAACAAGCATTCAAATCAGTTTTATTATTCGCATAGCATTTCCTAAAACTTAATTTGCATTAAATAGAAGTATTTATGCATCACAATGGCTTTACAAATTCTCCAATGGTGTTGATAAAAAATTAAAATTAATTATTTTCTGAAAATGAATTTTGTTAAGTACATTTCAAGCCAATAAAATCTTAACTCAATTTGGATAGAAACTGTTTCAAGTGTATCACTTTACCTTCATAAGGCTACATCAATAAAAATGTATGAATAATGGGACTGAAAGACATGACCACAAACATCTAGTTATAAGTACTTATAGTGATAATATGAATATAAATAAGAAAGTTAAATAAACTGAAAAAATAAGTCTGGATAATAGTATGAACTAAATTAAATTATTTTACTAAATACAGTATAAAGATCAAAGTTCATGCTGATAGGGGCTTGTGACGCACCTAGTATTGCTAATTAGTATTAAAACTCAAAAATATGTTTCATCAATGCTATGATATTATTGATATGGAGTAACAGATATAATATTATTTAAAAAAGCAAGAATAAGCCTTATAATTATTACTGTTGTAATGTCAACAATATAAGGGGTCATTTCATAACGTTGTAATGTAGATAAACAACATTTTATTTACCTTGATAGACTTCTTGAAATTGATGAGCTGGTCAGTTGCCGGGTCTCTCGATGCCATTGTGTATATTATGTTAATAGAAGACTAATGTATTTAAAAAAGCCGTAAGGTATCGGGCGTGACCAAAAAAACAGAGCAATGATATTGCGTCGTGTATAGGAACCAAATACGACTCAACGAGCGTGTAACGAGTTTATATAGCCTGCTAGATTGACACTAGGGATGTGAAAAAATAATCGATTATTAAAAAAATCTATTAAAATGGTTTTTTTTTAAAGTAAAAATCGATTTTTATATTTAAAATATTCGATTAATAATCGATTATTTTTATAATTGAAAATCAATCATAGTCGATTTTTCATCTGCCACCTCGCGACATTATGTCTGGTATTTTATAACCCGGACCCCGAACTATTAGTGATATTCGATATACATCGATGTTTACAATGCGATACATTGAATCCGATTCTTTGAAGATGTATTGATATACTCGATGCATTGGTGTTTTTTTGTAAAACAACGAAAGGATGATAAAAACAGTTAATTTTACAAAAACTCAAGTTTGAATGGAACACTATAATTTAAAAGTAAAATAAATTTATTCAGCAGCAAAAGATTGCATACAATTAAAAAGACAACAATAATACTGCAATGTGCTACTGAAAAGGCATACACTCAGCATTTATAAAATTTCACCTAAAATCGATCAAAACGAGATTAAGTTAATTTGTGTTTATAATTTCTATTGATTGTTTTTAATTAATAAAAACCATGAAAAATAAAATATTTAGGGTGTTTATTTTGAAATTAATTCAAAAATTAGGAAAAAATCGATTATTTATTAATCTATATTTCATGCTAAAAAAATAATCGATTAATAAAAATGTCTAGATTTTTAATGCAGAATGTCACATCCCTAATTGACACTGCTTCGCTACATTCTAGCTGGTCGCCGACTGCCTCTTAAATGACGTGTGTGACGTGCGTATCAGTGTTACCAACTCTACCAACTTTTAGGTAGATCTACCAACTTTTAGGATTATTCTTAAATCCACCAACTTTAAAAAAAAATTTAATTTATTTTATAAATTTTTATATTGTTTTATTTTCTTATATGCACACAATAAGTTAAAAACAGCGCGCTTTTGCGTTCTTGACAGTTGAAATATATCGATATACATCAGCCAATAAGAAACCTCGGCTTATTTATTGTGAGTTTCGACTAATGACTAACTTCAAGACTCTCATGAACTTACTATGTATTTAGATATGTAAAGCGCAGCGTTGAATGTTATTAAATAAAAAAAATCTCCTCCACGAAAATTGAGGAAAATTCATTACGATATATGAATATTCCAAATTCTTGGAAAAAGAATCAGAATATGCAGGTTGGATTAAGCATTTCAGTTTCCGGCCTCCATTGTCAAGTAAATTATGTTAGATTGATCTCTTCAATCCATAACATGCTTTGATTTTTTTATGAATATTGTCAATTTTTTAGTAAATATTGATTTTTTACTATAATACTATTAGTGATTAGTTTTTAGATCAATATTTTTCGGAGAGAATCGCCATTCCTGTAAGTACTAAACAATACTTACGCTAAGCCTAGATCTAAAAATTATATTTTCAAAATTTTGAGTTTAACGGGTTTTGTACGTTCTCCTAAATTTAATTTATTATTTAATTTTTGATCCTAGTAAACTTATTACTCTCAACTGTGGATTTAGCCCCTGGGCCTTAGTCAAGATGCTATAGCAGTAGTGTATGTAGAAAGTCTAATAGTAAATTTATATGGAAATGATAGTTCGTGTCGAAAAGTTTTCATACAAATTTAGTTTTTAACTTCTTGGCAGAAGGCATCTTGACTATACTTAATGTTGCACATTAAGTATCGGCGGTATTATAATTGGCAATATATTTTTTATTAAATAGGAGTAAATTATTTTTTATCCACTTAATAGACATAATAAATTACATAAACTAAACCAATAGAAAATACACATTGAGCCACCATTATTAGCACCATGAGAACAACCTGAAAGCCAATCTTGCGACAGTTGGTATTGAATATTTTTAGTAAAAAAGAATGATCAAGTACAAAAAATGATATTGTGTAGTGTTATTACTAAATTTTCATGTAATTTTAGAATTTGTATTTAATTAAAATCACATCGTTCTTTGACAGTTCAAACGAATAAACAATTAGTTAAGTCAATTGTAGGTTAACCACACGGATCCTATTCTTACGATGTGTTCGTACTTCACTTTAGTTGCAAAATCTGGAGCCTGATATACGATTGCAAAAATAACTGTATTTGGCGTGTTTTTTAAATTTCACCTAAATATTCTAACTAATAATAAATTCTAATTTCCCCAATCTCGTTTGAGAAACCCCTACAATTAGGGGAAAATCCTCTGATCTGGCAGCACTGTTCTAAAGAAATATTCTGTGGAAAACATATAATTATTCCCACAGACTGAAGGTAAAATAAAGCTTAGGTTTTATCATCTCCACCTGTTACTTTTTGATAGTTGACAGTGTCATGTTCAGTCGTCACTGTCAACTACCAAAATGTAGGCAGTCGCCAAAAATTAAAAAAAAAAAGAAAATCCGTCAACCAGCTTCATTTCCATTTTGAAACCATCGAGTAACCAGTGAACATCTAGGAGAGGTCGTGGAGGAACTTTACCATCTAGCCACCATCGCCGTTCGCCAATTACACCATGGCTGATACAGAGGCGGTGCCGCAGCCGCAGCCTCAGCAGCAATCGGAGCAACCGCCTCAACCTGCTAAAGCGACTAAACAAAAGCAGGTCGTCGGTAAGTACCTACGCCATCTTAGTTTTCCGGTTCGCACCTAAATCTACGAGCACATGGCTACGCTTTTGCGGTTTGGCGATTCTGATAAATTTTATGATTCTTATTGCTTTAGATAATCATGATTATGGTTTTATTATGTTACCTTTAAAATTATGAGTTCAATTATAATGTCATAATACTTATAGGTATTGAGTAGTATTGATCGCGTCTTTTGCAATTGTGCGTTGCGACCGGCGCGCGACGGCTGCGCATCGCCTTACGATCAATACCGGCCTCATCCTCCTCATCAATTCCAACCACACCCTTCGATATTAATGAAGCCATACATTTATGAATATTAATGAATTTAGATATTTTAATAATTTAAATTGCGAATGTTTTGTCAAGATATGTATATGCTGATATTTTTTCAAACACTTATTTATTTTTTTCAGCTGAAAAAGTATCCGGCACTGTAAAATGGTTCAATGTGAAAAGTGGATATGGTTTTATTAACAGGTTTGTTAACTTTCTACATAATGTTAGATATTGAAAGTAACATTTTGTGTAGTGATTTTAAAGTCATAGTTACCTTATGTTTAAATTAAGTTACTATTAAAAGTTATTGTTAATTTAAATTTGAACTGTAGGAATGACACCAAGGAAGATGTGTTCGTGCACCAGACTGCGATTGCTCGAAACAACCCACGTAAGGCTGTGCGCTCGGTAGGCGACGGCGAGACGGTGGAGTTCGCCGTGGTGGTCGGCGAAAAGGGGTATGAGGCAGCCGCCGTGACCGGACCTGGCGGCGAGCCAGTCAAGGGCTCGCCATACGCCGCTGACAAGCGCCGTGGCTTCCCTCGTCAGTACTACCCGCGCGGAGGATGGCGCGACGGCGAGCCTCGCCGTGGTGGCCCACCACGCCGTGGCCCGCCACCACCGCACGCTGCGGTTGCTGGTGCTGCACCCAATGAAGAGGGGGAAGCCCCGCAACAACGCAGCTACTTCCGCCGTAACTTCCGTGGTGGTCGTCGCGGTGGTGGCCCGCGTCCCGTGTACCGCGGTGGGTACCGTTACGTACGTCAACGCAACCCACAGGCGGGCGCGCAGGGAGGCCCGCGTAGCGCTGCGCTCGAAGGCGATGCGCCCGCCGCCTCCACGACTCAGCCCAAGCCCAAGGCTAAGGCGGGCGCTACCATCGAGGCCACCACCAATGAGAGCCAGGCCTAAAAACCAGGCCCACCTTCTGTAGTGGCTCATTGTAGTATTTCTGACTTGTATTGCTCTACTGCCTATGAGCAGCACTATAATTTAACTTATAAATGGCTGTAGATATCCTAAGACATGGAATGTGTTTATAATATGCTTCCTATATTTATTTATAGTGTTCTTAGTTATATCTATTCAATATAATCGGCTGTTCAATACTTAATACATGTGCAATTGATGTCTGATATTTTAATATGTAATTAATTTTTTGTCATAATTATTTATATCACGGTGTTGACAATTTATGTTTCTTTTGTTAATGATCATTATTTAATTTAAAAATTTTCTTAAAAATTTAAATGTATGTGATGATGTAGAAATCTAAATGTACTTTATTTAAATTAATAATGAATTTCCTATGTGTAATTGAAATTGTCGTGGTGTACCTTAATATATGTGAGCCTTAAGAACACTACAGAATTAATAAAGCTCTTTACCTGTGTGAACCCTTTACTTTTTGTGTAACCATTTACCCACTTATTTATCATGCATTTGTTAATTACATCTAAAGTAATAGTACAAGTATTACAATGCATATAGCAGATAGATGAAGGAATTTATCCAAATAAATGGATTTTAAATTGGCTAGGTCATTATGTATGATATCCTGCTTTTCTTGAAGTTGATAAGAGTAGATCAGGAATGAGTATGTCGGTTTTGTTCTGTGTATGAAGAATAGCAACATGTATGGTTTTAGGTGCAGTAAAAACTATGACTACATAAACCAACAATTCATCTGGATATCTTAGTTTCATATAAGCCCAATACCACAATTTGGTAGTATTTTAGGCCTTGAAATGCCTAAAAATACTTATATTATTAGAATCCTAGCAGCATAGGTCAAATTATTCTTTTAAATTACCTACTTAGTTTGCAATACCTCATCTACTGTCCAACAATGGTAAATATTAGAGAATTTGGAACAAAAGAATATAAAGTGCATTAAAATGCTGATTGCTAAATAGGCACATTATCATTTGTTATGTTTATAAGACATATTTATTATTAAGAGTCAGTCAATAAATGATTATTCATAGTTAAAAATACTATACTAATGTGACAAAATGGTCTATAAACACATTCCTTTAAGTGCACAACGTTGATAAATCAATGTAGAGATAATGCTACCTAATAATAATATTTCTAAAACAATTTCAAATGCCGTGATCAAATGGGCTAACCTTGTGAAATTACTTCAGCAAGCTTTTAAGCATAATCAAGGCAAATAATTTAGGTACAAACACCAATGTAACGTTTAATTATATTGAAACAAGCACTGTTGGGTATAAATAAATTATTTATATTATTTAATAATAAAACTATTTTTAGGCGTTGCCCACTCATCAGCGCAATCAATCAACCCCTTCCTAGTGAGAGTGCCATGCTGCTGTCTTCAAGCTTCAGCCAAATGGGCAGGCACGACTGGGGCAGTGCCACTGTCTCTCAGAAAACCGGCGTGAAGTAATGCAATACGTTCGCCTTATTGTACTCGCGTTTCGTGCGGTGAGAGAGGTTCCCGGAGACACCCTTGGGTTGCTTTGGTTTGGCTGGTTGTATTTGGCACTACAAGTCAGCAGATTGGGACGGGATGCGGTCTGTCTTTGTGTCCTACCCTTGGGGGCTTAAGGCCCCTTAAGGCCTATGTGCTTTTCGTCGGAAGCTCCAGATTCAGTCACTGCCTCTGTTGCCGAAGTGGTTCTACAGGGCATGGCTTTATTCCATTTTCTGCGTTCTTGCAAGGCGGCCTGGCGTCGAAAGCGAGAATGCTTTAAGGCATGGGCGGAAGCGGTGAAATCTCGTAATGCCAATACCAGCGAACTAAAAAAAGCATAAAACTCAGCCTCCTCCAGGTCCTTCAAACGGGAAATCACTAAGGCAAAGTTAGAGCACATTGCCAGATTTGGCGAGGGATTGCCCCAACTCCCTTCGGGGACTCGAGCCTTCTGGTATCTCGCCAAAGCTGTCCAAGGGAATTTTTGTCAGCCCGCCATCCCACCACTGCACAGGGAGGATGACTCGCTGGCCCACACTGCGAAGGAGAAAGCCGACCTTTTGGGCTGTCTCTTCGCGTCCAACTCGACTTTGGATGACCGAGGGAAATCACCACCGAGCATTACGCGGTGTGATTCTTCGATGCCGGAATTCACATTCCGGCTACGTGCGGTCCGCAAAGCACTTTCTTCGTTGGACATTCATAAGTCGAGCGGGCCGGATGGTATCCTCCTGAATTCCACTGAATTACCAGATTCGCCATTTTTGGTGACAAATGGGTGGAGCACATTGCCAGATTTGGCGAGGGATTGCCCCAACTCCCTTCGGGGACTCGAGCCTTCTGGTATCTCGCCAAAGCTGTCCAAGGGAATTTTTTTCAGCCCGCCATCCCACCACTGCACAGGGAGGATGACTCGCAGGCCCACACTGCGAAGGAGAAAGCCGACCTTTTGGGCTGTCTCTTCGCGTCCAACTCGACTTTGGATGACCGAGGGAATTCACCACCGAGCATTACGCGGTGTGATTCTTCGATGCCGGAATTCACATTCCGGCTACGTGCGGTCCGCAAAGCACTTTCTTCGTTGGACATTCATAAGTCGAGCGGGCCGGATGGTATCCCCCTGAATTCCACTGAATTACCAGATTCGCCATTTTTGGTGACAAATGGGTGGAGCAAGTTGATTTTTTGGGCAACGTGGGACGGTACGGGGATATCATCATACTTAGATAGAATGTTACAAATGACTGCCCATAAGCAATCAAGAAGATTGTCATTCGGGGAAACTTCATGGTTGATGAGGGAAGGGGGGCTTACGGCACAACCATTGGGTAAAAAGGAGAGTAAATTGGAAGTAATGGCCTCATGGGCCGCCTTATCATTGAATTTACCTGATGTTGGCCTAGTGCGAGGAGGGAGAAATACAGTTTTCCTGAATGATTTAGTCTGAGGGGAAGCTTGGGAAGGTATAGTAATGGGCTGGGATACACTGAATGAAGAGGAGGGGGTTGTTTTTGCAGAATCTGCAAAAGATTTGCCACTGCTAGGTCTAAAGCGAGCTGATGCTTCCAGATAGGATATGCTTTCCTGAGATATACAATGTTTTATATTTCTTTTTCTATTGTGTTCGGGACATCCTTTGTTGGTAGCATAGTGAGAGGCAGTATAAAATAAACAAAGATTTTGTTTCAGGGATATTACAATCATCGCAGAATGGGCTAGAGTACAACGGAAACATCTAGGCTTAGATCGGCATTGTGTCACATGACCAAATCTACAACAGTTAAGACACTGGATTGTTGGGAGTTGGTAAATATCAACGGGAGGGAATTTTGGCAAGAGAATACTCTCTCCGGAAGGGTTTGACCTTGAAAGGTCAAAACAACAGTTTGCGTTGGAGTCCATGCAATTTGACTGTTGCAGTTCATCTTGCGATTAAGGCGTCTGGCCTTGAGGACTATACCAAAACCTTCGGGAATTTCTAAAGTTTCAACAAATTTCTGCATCGACCAATCAGCTGGGACACCTCTCACAAGGCCCATACGGGAAACATTGTAATTAGGAATGGTAACAGAATAATTGCTGGAAGGTACAATGGGATTAGACATAAAATTATTAGCATCTAACCCCGAATTAAATTCACCAGATATTCTATTACGTCCCACTCTCTGAACACCATCTTGAACAATGTTGGGTACATTGTTTTTTACTAAGAAGTGACCAAATTTAATTGGGCGAATTGATGTATCAGCGGATGGGTCAGATTCAGGTCAAGAAACATGGACCAAAAAAGGGCCCTTGTTATTGACGTGGTATGACTTATGTGAGTCAGTGAGAGATGGATGGGAGTAGACCGGACATCAGTCATTGGTTTTTTGGAAGGTTCCACTAAAGCTTCATTGACTATATACGTTTGACACCAGGTTGGGAAAACACTGGGGGGGCAACAATGGGGGGAATCCATTGATACCACCGGAGAAGAGCCTTATCCGGAGGATCAGTGTGGTCTGGAGAGCGTTTCTCCATTACAAACTTCCAAAAATAGAACACGGTAAAGGGAGAAATATAACAAATAAATAAAAATAACTTACGTTATTAGTTGATGTTATTAATTAAACCAATAGGATAAGTCAGCATATATTTATTAAACTACGAGAAAAATGGAAAATACTAAATAATGATATCCAAAACACTTGTAAACACTTATACCCGAAACGACGGAATCAACTTATTTTATAATAATAAAGAGATACCAGCGCTACTAGCGGCGAAGTTTGGCAGTTTTCTTCTCCATTGAATATTGATCCATTAACCATTCCCAAATCCCAATTCCCATTGTAATACTCGAAGTTTAGGGCGTGACCAAATATAGTGCTATTTTTGGTTAAATTCCGATTTCCGAGCGCTTTATTGTGTGCAGGTGCATTGCGTTAGGGATGATCGATATTAGAAAAATATTCACATCAATATCATAATCGAAAGCCCAAAATCGATGGTCGAATTTTTCTCATTTTTGCATTAATAATTGCTAAGGAGAGAAGCACGGGAAATTGAACGTAGACGTACGCGTTTTTCGATTTAATTAAATTTTATTTTGTTTTAAGGATTTGGATCAGTACTTTAGTGTAGTTTAGTTATATATATTTGTGATTTCTTAGTTTTATTTAATAGTGTAGTAAAGAGAAAATTTATTGGTAAGTTTTTTTTACATACTTTTGCCTTATGGAGCCGCCTGATGTCCCTGGGGGCAGTGAAGTGGGTTGTATAATAACAATTTCCAATGACGAGTTGGGATGGAAACAGACGGATCCATAAAGTCTAGCAGTGGTACTCGGAAACGGAGAACCACTGCATAAACAACCCATTGTAATAGAAAGAGACGTAGTCGGAGACGACATGAGGGCAAGGAAATCAGACAAAACGAATGTCATTGCATTCTTTTACCTAATACCAATACCCAAATTAGCACTGCTCCCTTGTCCAATGAGTCGCAACTAAATTCCCCTAATCAATATAAAAAGCCAGAATCAGTAGCATGTTTAACATATCAGTCAAGTGATGCAGCACCATATGTAGTTCACATACAAAGAGTACAGCAAACTCCAAATGATAATATTTCAGTCCACCCTATTGATTGTGGTCGTTTCCCAAAAAGAAATTCTATACACAATTTTGTTAACGTAAGCTTAAAAAGAATTGGCCGTAATAGACTGTACCAGGACGCCAATTCTTCCCTAAACAACCCCGCTTTACAATCAGTCAAGTATAAGGTTTTTATCCCAATATTTACTGTGACCCGTATGAGTGTTATAAGAGGCATACCTGCTGAGTGGTCAGATGAAAAAGTTATGGAAAATATTAATTTACCTGTTGGATGTGGTCCAATTTTAAAAGTAAAAAGAATGCGACGGCATACCATTAGTAGTAATGGCAGTGAATTTAAGCCTACTGAGACTGTTGTTCTTACATTTGATTTACAAATGCTACCTAAGCAAATTTTTATTTACTACTCTGCTCTTTCAGTTGATCTTTACATTTTCCCCACAATACAGTGTTACAATTGTTGCAGATTTAGTCATGTAAAAGAGTTATGTAGATCAAAACCAAAGTGTTTCAAGTGGGGCCAAGACCATACGGCTGATCAATGCTCTATCCTAGAGGAAAATGCATACTGTTGTTTATGCCAAGGTTCCCACTTTGCAACAAGTAAAAGATGTTTAGAATTTGATCACCAAAAAGCCATCAAAGAAACTGAAGCATCTAAAATTCATGCACCTATTTCAAAAATGTCTTATGCTGATGCCCTACTTTCTTCTTCCAATGTAGGGGCTTCTACTATTTCTACTCCTGAAAATGAACAGCCTCATAAACAGTCTTTGAGTAACTCTTACAAAAAGACTGTTTTTCTTAAACCAAAATCTATTCCTAAACTATCCAAAGGTTACAACAGAAATATACACAGGAATTAATTTAAGACAATGATATGCCCTCACCCAGAAATGGTTGTGGATTAAACTCAAACAACACTAATGAATTCATTCAACAACATTACAATCAATTGCAGATCTAATTACAATTCTCATTCACACTTTATCACAGTCTAATATTCTTCGACAGTCCAACGCTGCTCCTTTAACTGACACTATCATTAACTTACCAAATTATATTAATAATGGACAAGCAAGCCAAAGCTCTACAGTGGAACTGTAGAAGTGCTTCGTCTAAGAAAAGTGATATTATTTATCTTATACAGGAGACTTCGTTAAAACCAGATGCTCCTTGTAGGTATTCAGGATATGCCTGTCTCCGTGAGAATCGTATTGATGGGTATGGAGGAGTTTATGTTTTTCATGTTTTAATATATATACCTCATCCAAGTTCTTCTATCTTTGTTAAAATTGAGTCTCTCATTTCTACTCTTCCTAAGCCTTATATCTTATTAGGCGACATTAACAGTCAACATAGTTCTTGGGGCAGTTCAACAACCAATACATACGGAGTTTCATTGATGGAATTGTTTGACTCTCATAATCTTTGCTTTCTCAACAATGGTTATGTGACCCGGCGCACCTCTCCCAATCAAGGCTCAAGTGTCCCTGATTTAAGCATTTGTACTCCTAGTTTAGCTTCCACTATCATGGTCTACACTTTCTTCTTCATATGGTAGTGACCACTTTTCTTTACTTTGTAGCATGTATTTCATATTTTATTTTATATTATTATTTTTATTATATGCATATATTATTTAATTGTATTAAGTATTCAAATATATATAATAACTATATTTATATTTTACTTAAAATACAAAATACACACATACATAAATTTACATTTTATATATGTTTCAAATTTCATTAAATTATTATGGTTGCAAATTAAATAGTCGCATCGCGGTCGTCGAGTGCAAAATCAAGCTCCCCAGACGACATGCATCAGAGGCCAGCCGCCAGAGCCACATCGGGTTCCCCGCACCAGTGCGCTGCGAGTCATTGACGCGAGAGGACGTTTAAATCATTCTGTCATATATTGTATCAAATTTATAATAATAAATAGTGGTGTGCTGTAAACATATTTATGTCTTTTGTTGAAAATAATTGAAGAATCAGACCACCCTAAATTTTCTTTTCATATTAATTTTACATATTTTAGACATTCTCCTAGATTAAAACAATGATTTAATAATGCTGATTGGGATACCTTTAAATGCCGTATAGAACAAAAGATGACTTCCCTTCCTAATATCTCACATGGTTCAGAATCAATTTGTGCTGATGCATTAACTAAATTATTTATAGAGGTACTTTACAAAACTTTTCCGCTTAAAAATGGTGCTCTGGGTTTTATTCCATATCCACCTTGGTGTTGTCAGTTCTCCATAAAAAGCTACAGTATTTGAATGTACCTCTAATGTTATCAAATTTTATCATAAATGCTTTATATGAAAGACATACCACTCTAATTTCACAAGACTCTACTGTTGTAACCAGAACCTTATGCAGAGGCCTTCCTCAAGGATCGGACTTAAGTCCCATCTTATATAATATTTATATGCATGATTTGAAAGCTTCCTTAGGTAATCGGATTTGTATTCTTCAGTATGCTGATGACCTTATACTTTATGCCATTCATCAATCACCGGCCATCGCTTGCTCATTACGGTCTCATTTTTAATTTATTAAAAACTTGGCTTGGTACTAATGGTCTTGAAATATCCCCCACTAAAAGTGTTTCCATGCTTTTATATAGAATGCGACTCCCTCCTCCAATCAATGTGTAATAATATTATCTTTGTTAAAAACTCTGTGAAGTTCCTTGGTGTGTTTTTTGGATTTTAAGATCTCTGGCGTAAATCATTGTGACTATATTTTTAATAGGTGTAAGCGAAACCTGAACATTCTTAGATGTTTATCTGGTGTATGGTGGTGTGCCCATCCCTTTTGTATGAAACTTATGTACAATGCTTTAATCCGAAGTATTTTAGACTATGGTACCTTTTTATTATCTCCTGGAAATACAACCCGTTTAAAAAAAATTAGATAACATACAGTCTAAGGTAGAGATGTTATAGATATATATAATATTTCGGATCCAATTCCGAAATATTATATCCGTATCCAGATACGGATATAGATATAGGAATAAAATTATATCGGTTACGGATATGTATTTGGCCTCACTTCCTACTTCTTTTCTTCGAAAATCTTAGACTGGATTCAGAGCAGTGTGTGTCCTGTCCCCGGTATAACCACTCCATGTTATTCGATCATCCTCATCCGTCTTCCAGTATCCCGTTACCTACATCTGTTCCTGTTCTGCTTTCATCTTTAAATCATAATGTATATAAAAAGTTATCTTTATTTCTTACTGTAAATAATATAAAATTATAAGTACATATGTATACAAATCGTATTCTATATGATAAATTTTATTAATTACTGTTCCTTTCCATAATGTAGTATTTTGTATTAGAGATAGTTTTATAACCTGCTGATCCTATCCTTTATATATTCCTTTATCCGATTAAATTTTGATTCGATATATAATTATTTTTCTTTACTATTCCGTTTTTTTTTGTCTGTGGCAACTGGCAATACGCTCTGCGTGAAGCTATTTAAAAAAACAAAAAAAAATTAACAAAGAAATAAAATTACAGTGAAATGGTTCGAAATTTATTAAGAAACAAAACAAATTATTAAATCTTTCGATATTTTTAATAAAACTGATTTGTGTATGCGTTCATAGAAAACTTAAATTTTTTCGTAAGTTGCATTGGTCGTGCCGAGGCCGTGAGCTAACATTGATGTTCGATAATCGATTCCGTTAACATCGATGTTACGATATTTTTCGTGTAGCAACATCGATGTTTTTGCTTTCAATATCGATGATCATCGAGCATCCCTAATTCGCAATTCGCATTGATTGAGCATTCGTTCATCGTTGTTGTGCCTTCAGTCATGGCCACGCCCGTGTGTCATTTGGTTATGCCCAAATATTTCACTAAATTTGTGCATTTAAATTAACAACCTCAGATTACTTAATCTAAGAAATAAGTGTGGGGATGATTTAAATGAAAAAAATACACGCAATCAAAAAGTGTGTCCATGTTGTGTATTGCGTTTTGCTCAATTGTTAATATCGAAAATGTCTAATTCTCGTGGAAGTTGGTATAGTCCTGGTGGCAGACGTTTTCAAGGCAATAGAGGGCGGCTTACAAGTAGTATACCACCTGGTTTGAAAGGCAGAGAAATCGTTCGCTATTATAAAAACCTAAATAAAGAATATCAAAAAAAGAACGTAGTGGTAAGTTCAAAATTATAATCTTGCATTAACCTTATATTTATGTACTTAAATAATATTATTTTCTTTTAGATTAATCTCACAATTCCGTCTGCCATCATATCTGCTATAAATAAAAACTTAATGTTCATAGAAACTATCGCTAAAACTGAAAATATAGAATTGCCTTTCACAAATATTTTTGAATCTCTTATGAAACCAAAAACTGAATCAATTAAGAGAAAAGAAAGCCCTAATCCTGAAGAATATGATGTTGCTGATAAGAGATACAAAGAAGGTACTAATATTTCTCTTAAAAACGTTTTGGTACCTAATTTCAAGACTGATACATATGTGAATGAGAATGAAAAGATGTTACTTAATGTAAAAGCTGAGATACATAATGAGGTTAGGGATGAACCCAGTTCATTAAGTATGCCAAATAATATACCTATTAAAAGTGAATCCTGTTCATTAAGTACACCGAGTAATAAACCTTTTAAAAGTGAACTCAGTTCATTAAGTACACTAAATGATATACTGATTAAAACTGAACCGAGTTCAGTAAGTATGCCAGATTACATACCTATTGAAAGTGAATCCTGTTCATTAAGTACACCGAATAATATACCTTTTAAAAGTGAACCCAGTTCATTAAGTACACTAAATGATATACCTATTAAAACTGAACCGAGTTCAGTAAGTATGGCAGATTACATACCTATTAAAAGTGAATCCTGTTTATTAAGTACACCAAATAATAAACCTTTTAAAAGTGAACCCAGTTCATTAAGTACACTAAATGATATACCTATTAAAACTGAACCGAGTTCAGTAAGTATGCCAGATTACATACCTATTAAAAGTGAATCCTGTTCATTAAGTACACCGAATAATAAACCTTTTAAAAGTGAACCGAGTTCACTAAGTACACTAAATGATATACCTATTAAAACTGAACCGAGTTCAGTAAGTATGTCAGATTACATACCTATTAAAAAGGAACCCAGTTCATTAAGTATTCCTGATTGCATACCTTTTAAAAATGAAAATATAATGAATGATTGTTTAAACTCTGAAAGGATACTAGGTTTAAGAGTAAGACATTATAAATATGGGTATCAAGATATAATTACTGGAACATTTGATGAGAAATTAGCAGAAGCTTTAACTCAAGGTATTCAAATAACTTCTTACAATGATGGTATTAGAAAATTAAACCATGATTACTATAAAGAGTACAATGAAATGGTAGGAAAGTTGTCTTATAATAAAATGTTACAATTTCGTGAAACCTTACCTGCTTACAAGAAAAAAGAAGATATATTAGACAATATTGATAAAAGTCAAGTACTAGTGATAAGTGGTGAAACTGGCTGTGGAAAATCTACACAGGTGAATATTATAGAAATTATAGTATTATAGCTATGTTGCTAAGCTTAGTTGGTTCTCTGGTAAGTCAGTAATCAAACTTCAACCAAGTTGTCAAAGGTTAACATTTAACTGTGATTTATCATAGGTCTAAGTGTAATGCTCGTACTTGCCTGGAAAAACATTACAATCACATAGCACCACACATAAAAAAGTTTGGGATTTATCATTTTTAATTGAAATTTTCAAAAAACTAACTTATATGTCTTTCATGAGAACTTAGAGTGTTAATATACTATAAAACTATTGTTTTTCTTCAGATTCCTCAACTTATTTTAGACAGAGCTATGAATAATAAGACGGGGGCAAATATAAGAATACTTGTCACTCAGCCAAGAAGAATTGCGGCATCTTCATTAGCTATGAGAGTTGCTAAAGAAAGAGCTGAAATGCTTGGAAATTCTGTAGGATATAGTGTCCGATTAGAAAAGTTAGTATTATAAATATGTGTGGTTGAGAAGCAGGACTTATACACCATTACATACACACAGTATTTTGGGTGAACACTAAAAAGTTTTGGCCATATAAAATTCACAACATTTTTATCTAGCCAAAATACCTGTCACTACCTGATGCCAGCTCAAATAAAATAAATTATTGAAATCTATTTGAGACCGATTATTGTTAATAACATTAGCTAAAATCACTAAAAACAAATTAATTAAATAATGTTGCAATTTGCTTAAATGTAATAAAAAGTTATCATTTCTCTGTACCAGGGTAGAATCGAGACCTCGTGGTAGTATTATTTTCTGTACTACTGGAGTGCTATTAACTGAACTTGAGGTTAATCAAGCTTTGTCCAACTATAGTCATATAATACTGGATGAGGTGCATGAACGGGATACTCATGTAGATTTGGCTATGGCTGTGCTAAAACAGGTATATTTATTAGAATTTAAAAATCTAGACTAATTTTTGTCTCTTTCTGTTAAATTGTTTGCTGTGATATAAGTGTAAGAGATAGCTGGCCGGTGACAGCAGGGTGACTGAGACTAAATAGTTTTCCCAAACCCCTCTGTTAAAGGAAACCAAATTTAATTGCGTAGTTTAGTCCCGTATTTTAAAACATTAATATAAGTTGTTAATCCATTTTTTCTGTATGTGAGAGATTGTGACCTAAATACAAATAAGATTTCTATCTATATTCTTATAAATTTAAGGCTTAAAGCATACAGTGACTAGACAACTATGGAAAGAGGTCTGGTCTATGTTACAGTTTCGCAGAGATTTTTTTATTTTTTCAAACATTATATTAATTGAAATACATACAAAAATATACAAAAGCGGTGCCGTCCCTAAAACATGTGGACACGACCAGCGACATATCTTTTCCACAAATTTTCATCAGCAATATAATTTATATCTCTCGCTTTTAGGATCACAGAAATTTGCTAGTTAGCAATAGTTATTAAGTATAAAATATGCTGTGTTTACCTGTTAAAGAGAGTAAAATTTTTGTGTGTTCCTGTGTAAGCTTTTATTGTTATACCCGTTGGCAAATCAAATAAATCAAAATTTTATATTTTCGCTGTTTCACAGATAGTGAAGAATATAAGATTTTTTTAAACAGCTTGAAAAAAAATGTATTTCATAGTCCAATTTAAAATTCCAGATACTAAAAAAACGAACAGATCTAAAACTCATACTTATGAGTGCAACGTTAGATGCAGAAGCATTGTCAACGTATTTTGACAATTGTCCCGTAGTATTCATAGAAGGGCTTACTTATCCCGTCACAGATGTTTATTTAGAAGATATCCTAAAGCTAACTCACTACCAGATACAGAAGGAAGTGCTAAAGAAACATAAAAAGCAAAAGTGGAAAAAATTTGAAAAGAAGGTTAAAGCGAGGGAGGCGAATGAAATGGAACAGTATATTCAACATAACGCTGAAATTGGTAAGTTTGTGTGGACAAAATTCAAATAGTCCGTTTATGTTTGGGACAGGTGACTAAATAAAATACTAAAAGTGCAGGGCAAGAACAAAAGCTACCTTTAATATAATTATATCAGATATCTCCTAATTAAATGGCTGTCTTTCTACACATTACTAAAAACAGATTAAAGCAAATTTTTGCAAAAACTTATTTCTATATGTATAAGGTAATAATAAATACGTTCATCACAAAATATAATAACTTAATCGAAAATCTTGTCCTGGAAAATAAAACGACATCTTTTATACAAAAAATAATCTTATTGGGTCTGACCCGTTTGACCAAATGACTAGATATGATTTAGAAACACGCACTAAATCGTTACAAGCGATGACAAAAATGTAACAATTTCACAGAGAGTAAGTAAATAAAACTTTTACTTCAAATAGGTGAGCGTCCTGCCCGTTTGCCTCCCGTAACATAAACAAAAACCACTATTACTAGATGTCGTTACGTACACCATTTTTCTAATAAAAACGACAGGTTAATCACAAACAAATTTACGCATTGTTTCTTCTTCCGTTACACATTCTAACTCCTAGTCTGAGAAAGTTTATGCATAATAATTTAATTCTTTTATTAGGACCATGGCTGGAATCAATAAAAAACGATATACCTCTTGATGTATACAAAACACTCCAAGACCCAGAAATAGAGACATTCAATATAGACTTAATAGTTGTGCTCCTAAATTACATATGCAAGGGAGATCCAGGAGCAATTCTTGTGTTCCTACCTGGGATTGGGGAAATAACTAAAGTAATGCGATGTATGGAATTAACTGGGTTTTTTAACGAAAGACACGAAATTTATCCCTTACATTCAAAACTAGCAACTCTAGAACAGCATAAGATATTTATGAGGCCGCCGTTAGGTGTTCGTAAAATAATATTGGCCACGAACATCGCTGAAACGTCGATAACAATTGATGATATAGTATATGTTGTCGATTGTGGGAGGATTAAAGTAAGCGGTTTGAATGTTGAACAGAATATTTCTACGTTGAAAACTGAATGGGTGTCTAAAGCTAATTTACATCAGAGGTGAGGATTTTTCACTTTATAACACTAAACTTTTTTGAGTTTTTATAAGATTTTTTTACTGACGAGTATTTCATTTAAATGATTTTTAAAGTACATATTATTCATTTCTTTGGAATCCTAGAGTTTATTTAATTTTATTGATAAAAGATTGTCAACGCTTGGCACACTGATTGGTAAAAGAACAACATATACAATTTTTAATGTGTACACTTATAGACAAACATTACATACACGAAGAGATAATACAAATATTAAACAAAACAATTAAAATTACAAAAACTAAACAAAAATCGAGTTACTAGAAATAAAAGTCGGTAAATATTCCGTATCGCGGCACCAACCTTAGCCGTTACGGCTTGCATAATGCCTGTGCTTTGTTACAGCGGGTGGGGGCTGCTCTTCCTCCGCGCCTCCGATTTTTTATATATACTCTAGGGGTAAGGCAGACAAGACCACGTGGATAGTGGGGTGCTCTGATTCGGTTTTGGGTACTTTTTTTTTTTTTTTGGCAAAAAAGGTCATGCGCCATCATAACAACACTAAGTTATAGTGCTGAGACTTCGTCGAATCGTACCTTCGGCTCGCTTATAATTAATAAATTAATATTATTTTTAATTCTTCTTTTTAAGTCTTACAATTTAATTACTTATATTAGTATTGTCTTTGATTAATATAACCTTTACACATTTAAAGAAAAAACTTTTTAACCGGATTAAAGTTATGTATTATTATAATTTATAAATTATATGAAATTTATAATAATACATAACTTTAATCCGATTAAAAAGTTTTTTCTTTACTTATATTAATGAAAATATTAATATATTTCCCAACAATCTTCCTTCTCTCGGTAATTTTGACTCGTAATGAAGTTAAATTTTAGTTTTTGGTTTTACGGTTTATGCTTGAGGTTTTTTGTTCTTGTTAAAATAATCGACCTGTTTGTCTGTAAAATTTGGGACGTCATATTTTCTTGTATCTTATATGTTTTATAAATACAAATATGTATATTTAATATAATGAGTGATCCTACAAACTTACCCCAGGCTTCAGAGTTGCATGCCAGCTTATCAACGCAAGTTTCAAACATGTAAACCAGTTTAAAATATCTTTAAGTCTTTAAAAAGTCATCTATATAAACACCTCATAACCATACCGCCGCCATTTGTACCTCATATATCGCCAATCATATACTATATATATTTTCTTTGTAATTGTAAGTATCTTCTTATTATGTACTTTAGATCCTAGCATCGTGACTTTTAACTAAAAGCTAATTAACTAAAGTAAGCTAATTTAACTTATGTTTTATTTTGCTTTTGTAATTGTATAAGTGTAACATTGTTATCTGTATTTTTGAAATTTAATTACGCACTTACCCTTAGTATTCTTTTTTCCTTACTAAGGTTGCCTGGAAGAGAAACTTTGTTAGCGATATCGTGCCTCCTTAATAATTTATGTTATCTGTTATCGAATATTATAATGCAACAGTGTTAATAAATAAATAGTTTTTCGTCGATCCTATTCAAATTAAAATGCATAATTATCATCTTAAATATACATATTATATCACGACATAATACGATTTGCAGACGTGGTCGTGCAGGCCGTTGTCAACCTGGCATTTGCTATTGCCTATTAACGTCGTACCGTGCGGGAAAACTTGCCGATCGGCTTTTACCAGAGTTACAAAGGAGTAATTTATTAGAACCGGTGTTGATGGTGAAGAAATTGAGACTCGGTTTAGCCTATACGGCGTTACAGACGGTACCATCACCGCCCGCTGAGAAAACAGTGGAGTCTGCTGTGAGGCACTTGCAGAAGTAAGATTTTTTTTTAATTGACATATTTTTGAAGTGAAACTTCTTTAGGCACGTGAGGGTAAATTTTTTACGGATGAAACGCAATAATAGTATTAACGTCACGAAGATGTGCAGCGTTTTTGTTGATGATAAGAGTGATAAGGGCGAATTACCTTATAGAAATTCTAATTTATATGTATAAATATTAATTGCTGTTCATTTGACTCGAGAATGACTGGACCGATTTGGCTAATATATGGTCTTTAAATTGTCGTAGTCGCAGAATAGAGACGGAACCGACAAATAGTAAACTTTACATGGCAGCCATTTCATAATAGGTAATACAATCATGTTAGTTTTTTGCCATACATTTTTAATTTCATATTCTGTTCTTATGAAAATTTGCATACAAGCAAACAAAAGGGTTTGTTTTAAAATAAAAATAATAACATTTCATTACACAGTTTTCTAGAAAAATCACATGCTTCTATGAGTGTACCTATCAAATCCGTCACTTTACCGACTGATTAATTTAACGAATGTTTTTTTTAATGTAGCCGAAAATTTTGTCAATGTAGTATCCAAATATGATAAAAAGTGGATTTTATATTATAGTATCAGGTCCGATATCTTTGTTCTGATTAAAAAATGTTGAATGAAGTATCGACTCAAATATAATATATAGGTGATACGAAGTTAACCATCCGGTGAACCGGGTCATCTAGTTCTTAATAAAATTATACAGGCGTCCCAGAAGTATGGGACATCAAGGGAAAGTACCTTAAATATCGTAGTAATATTTTGCTGAAAGAAGACTTTATTTTATTTTGAAAAGTAAGTATTACTGCATTCAATGATATTCTAAAAATTACTTGTCCCGTCTGGAAATCGAAACGACTCAAATGTGAAAAAAAAAACACCCCTTTTTTATTTTGATGCCAATCAAGATAACGGACAAAAAAAAGCTTAAGTAGGTAACGTTGTATTTTGAAAGAAAAAAAGGGTGCGTGTACTTATGTACGCGCGTAAGAAGTTATACTTCTTTGGCATTATTAAAAATAGTTTTTGATTGCATGCAAATAATTAATTACAATTAAATAATCAAAGACTGGAAAAGGAGTCATTAAAGTCAATAAAGTTCAGTTTACATTTGAAAAATTAATTAAATAAATATTTATTATTATTCTCTTACATTAAACAAATAAAACACTATTTATCTTTAAAACATTTTTATTTCATTATACTATTTATTTTTAAGTGACTCTAATGTCTTCATCAGAATTTCGGTTTGTAATTTTAAATTAATCATTACTTGGTTGTGCATCTACGAGGCTTCTCCAAAACTACTTGCTTTCTGCAACAAATAAGAGAATATTAATTTAAGCTCTGTCCATGCAAAACTTAAAATTTTTTTATAATTCATATTATAAATTTTTTAACACATTTATATTAATATAATTATATAAATGTGTTAATAATATAATTTGTAGCACATGCTACAGACCTGGATAGCAACTTTCTTTTATTCTATTTAGAGATAGAGATAATTTAAATATAATACCGGTGTCTTCCTTGTAGGTTTCTTTGGAGTTGTTTGGGGATTCTTGTTGTTCAGTTCGACATGATTTTCTTTAACCTTTCTTTAATCCTACAAAATAATGAAATTGTTAAGTTATGTTGTCACTGTTGTGCACACCTTTGTTTGGCTTTTTTAGTATTCAAGTTATGTCAAAACTGATTTATTACCTTGTCATTGTTGGCTTTATTTGCTTTTGGGATATCAATTGTTTCCAAAATGATTTTATTTGTAATAACCTGAAATATATAAATAACATCTATTAATTTAAGTATCATGGTGAGTGGTTCGCACTCAGGTATTAAGGTGTATTATACCCACTGTCCATTATAAGTGGGAATGGGCTCACTTCTGGCAGGACAGAGTTTCGGTACTACAAGTGCAACATGGATGTTTTGAGGTATTACAATATCTCTAACTACCCTGTAGGGGAATAAAGTAATGTTGTAAGCATATGCCTATGCTTGAAAGGTTGAACCTTGAACATCACCATACATCATATTTATAATTAACATTCCTACCTCGACACCATCACAATCAAATTCATTGCAATCTACTTCAAACCATTGTGTCTCGAGAAGGTGATGGTGGCTTTGTTCCACCTCCAGTTTTTGATGTTTCACGGCGATAAGATGACAACTCTTTTTTTGTATTCAATTTAGTGCACTTCCACTGATTCATCAATTGTTTTTTGTCTCTTGTCCTTATATTTGCTAGATTAAATCTGATGTTTTGATTAAATAATGTGGTCATTTTTTTGAGATGCAGGTACTTATTAAAATGTTTACTTCTCTGTTATATCGCTCCAAGCCTTCATTTTCTCCTTATTAGTATTCGTGCTTAAATCTTTGTTCTCAATTATTGATATATAGGGTCGTAGAATATTTCTAAAAAGTTGCTGTAACAAACGCAATAAACAAAAGCAATGAATAATGGTTCATGTTTCAGTTTTAATCAACAATAATACTCGATAATACATACGGATAGTTAACCTCAATTGTATTGAAGCACTCAGGAAGGTTAGCACAGTTTTTTCACAAATATTTTATATTATTTCACAAATATTTTGTATAATGAAAATAACTAGGTATATAAATATTAATTTTAAACAATAATTAAAACTCCTATATTTGTTTAAAAGGTAAATGTCATTGTCAGATGTCAATTGTCATGGTCATTCAAAATTCTTGTTAAGCTGCTAAGCTAGAATATGCGTGAAGTTAGCTTCACGCATATTCTATTTCTTTTTTACTTGTAGTTTGTCTTATTCCCATCTCGCTCGCGCACGCTATATCACACTGCCAATTTTGTGTCATAGGTGCGCGCGCAATCGTAAAATTTCACTCTCATCAATTTTTCATAACGCGCCTAAAGAAGTACAACTTCAAAAAAAACAACGTTTGAGTCAAATTTCAAGAAAATTATCAATCTGTCTGAATTGTTCAGACATATTATTATTTATTTATAGCCGACGACGGCGTTTGATATTTAAGGTACTTTCCCTTGATGTCCCATAGTCTTGGGACGCCCTGTATATAGTATGTGGTAATACTCACTACGACTGCTGAAAATCATTTCATAAGGGTGCGTCCAAATCTGTCGAATATGCCGCGAATGTGCAACTTGCGAGCTGCGGCATGTTCGCCAGATCCAGACCCTAACATCTTGCCTCGTCATATTTTGAAATTATAATCTTCAATTGTAATCGTTTTAACATGTGTTGTGTAGATGTGGTGCCCTATACAAAACGGAGACCTTGACCCCATTGGGATGGCATTTAGCAAGACTTCCAGTTCATCCCGCAGCAGGAAAATTATTATTGTTCGGAGCTCTTTTTGGGTGCTTGGATAGAGCAGCGAGTGTTGCAGCAGTATGGAGCTACAAAGATCCATTTCTACTTGTTATTGGTAAAGCCCGTTTTTATTGTAATGAGATGTATCTGTTTCGTTTCCCAAATAAATAAATAACTGTTAATTAACATTTCCTTGAAAAAAATCTTTAATTTTTAAGGCAAAGAATTCGAAATTAAGGCTGTAAAGCGAAGGCTGGCGATGGGTGAGCCGAGTGACCACGTGGCGATGTCTGAAGCGATTATGCAATGGGAAAGTTGTTCATACAGGTTCATACATATTTTCAAATATGACGATTTTATGGCACAAAGCGCAAGCTAATGTTTTCCCTCGCCGTACGCACATAGAAAAAATTGTGCACAGACGTATCTCGAACACATGACCTCAGAGTTGGAAACCCACTTAAACCGCTGGGCTAAATAATAATGTCTTATAAAATAAAAAATAAATCAATGGCGCTACAACCTTTTAGGGTTTGGGCCTCAAATTTCTGTATCTGTTTCATGATCATTTTTCAATCTCATAGGCGGTGATAAGTAGGTGATCAGCCTCCTGTGCCTGACATACGCCGTCGACTTTTTGGGTCAATTAAGAATTCCTCACGATGTTTTCCTTCACCGTTCGAGCGAATGTTAAATGCTCACATAGAAAGTCCATTAATGCACAGCCGGGAATTGAACCTACGACCTCAGGGATGAGTTGCACGCTGAAACCACTAGGCCAACAATCTCTAAATCTAATCCCTAATGTGCAACGATGTGTAAATAAATATTGCCGTAGCATATTTCGAAGAACAGGGCACATAAAACTCCATATTTTTCATAGAACAATAAATGTTAGTAAATACCGCCCATGGGCAGTCAATACCAGAGGGCTCGCACGTTTGTCGCCGGCTTACGAATTGGTACGGTCTTTTCTTGAAGAAGCTTGTTTTCTATCTTATTTTCACTATTACTGTAATGACTCAATTAAAAAAACTTTACTTTTGTCATAGTTTTTAAAATATGTTATTAGAGATCGTCGTTCGTTCGCCTACGATAATTTCCTTTCATACAACACATTGGAACTGCTAGTTGATATGAAGAAACAGCTGGGAGAAAATCTCACACAAATGGGATTTCTTTCAAGTAGTGACCTACATGCTCAATGGGAGAACAGGAATTGGAATAATATGAGCCTTTTCAAAGCAATTGTGGCTGCAGCGTTGTACCCCAATGTAGCACAAGTTCGGTGAGTCGACTAGACAATTACTGGATTACATTTGTTTGTTTTATTTATAGACGCCGTAAGGACACTTTCTTACGTTAAATATCCTTTTAGTAAATTAGGTTAATTTTGTAAAACGTTACGATGCGGGGCGGGGATTAAATTACGCGTTATTGTTAATATTTTTTTCGACTTACACCATATAATAGTAACTAAAGAGTCACTAGGTGGTCACGAAACGTTTTACTATACTACTATACTTGGGTACTGAAAAACGTTACGGCGATTAACATGGGGGGGGAGGGTCAATTAGACGATTGCCGCACCTTTATTTGTATTTTTTATAGGACTTTCAGGCTAGTGTGTGTTTTAAAAAATAATTTAAAGAAATTAACTTCAGATACATGTCAACAATATTTACATACCTCCCTTTTATAAATGGGTAAATCAAACACGTGAATACCCATGTCAAAAACTAACCGATTTTGTCGAAACAAAACAAAGCACAGCCCTGAGTGAAGTTTATCTTCTCAACAAGATACAACCATTAAATTTTACGGTGTTCCCCATCATTAATAAGAGCGTATAGTGAATATGGAATAATCAAAATTATATTTACAGTTGGCGCAATTTAAAAAGCGTCAAGAAACATACATCCATTAAGGCAGTTTGCCCTGAAGATGGCAGAGTCAAGATCCACAACAGTAGCGTTATGACTTCTTTGCATGGTACGCAAAGGCGCGAAGGAATTTGCACTAACCCCGGGGCTAACTGGTTGGTTTATTGGCTAAAGCAAAGAATGTCGGACCTTTTCCTTATTGATGTCAACCTGGTATATACACTGCCGCTGTTATTCTTTGGAGAATTTAGTGTTAAAGAAGGTAAAGTATTGCCTTTCTTAATTTAACTGAAAAAAATTGTAAAGTATTAATAGTAATAACTGCACGACCGAGGTAGCATTACGCGTTGCTCACTTGGTATTTATAAGCGTAAATCGTCGTACGCATCATCATGAAACGTCAAGGCAAAATACAAAATACCATCCGTATCACCTCGACGTCCATCGTTCCACAACTGAGCGTTTTCTAACTCAGTTTTTGCCGCGCACAACCACTATGTGCAACCAGCTGCCCACTGAAGTATTTCCGAACCAATTCGACTTAGAGTCCTTCAAGAAAAAAGCGTAGTTATTTTTAATAGGCTGGCAACGCACTCGCGAGCCTTCCGGCATTGAGTGACCATGGTCGGCGATATTACTCACTGTGACTACTTCAAACAAGTTACGTACTGTCTACTAATAAAAAAAATATAACAAACGCCCATAGACACTCACATTGCAAGAGGTGTCGCAATTGCGTTGCCGGCCTTTTAAGATGTGGTACGCTCTTTTCTTTTGAAGGACCCTAAATCGAATTGGTTCGGAAATACTTCAGCTGGTTCCAAATGGTGGTGGTGCATGGCAAAAATTGCCTTAAAAAAACGCTCAGTTGTGGAACGAAGGACGTGGAAGTGATAAATTTCTCGACGTCCAATGATGTACATAATTTACACTCCACCCAATGTTTTTTGATGTCTATTATTTAAAAAATTAACCTAAAACGCCGTAAATTATATTGTTTTTAGATCTGGAAAATCCAGAGGATTGCTTAATATCTATAACTAAAACTATAAACGTACGATGCAACAAAAATACGGCAAACACAATACTGAAGTTGAGAATTCTACTCGACAAAGTACTGGCGAACAAAGTTACGAAAACATGCCCACATTCTGAGAAACAGAGCCAATTCGAAGACGAGGTTTTAAAGTATGTTTTTATGTGATTATTGTGGTATATAATTTTTTATATAACAGATTATACACGTTCAATCCGTTGGTTCGTGTTATAACATAGCCAATGCCAGATTTAGAGGTCATAGGTTTTTTTTTCATACACCGTAACAGAATTGTATATTGTCATGTATAACAAAAATTTGTTTCAGAACCGTGATTGAACTTATTACAGCGGAAGATGAACAAGCTGATTACATCGAAGATGATATATCAGGAGCATCAGACGATAACGGGCATTAATTTATTTATATTAAAACTTTTTAAAATTAAATCTAGTCTAAAGTTGTGTAATCCTTAAAATTAAGTAAAACGTCGTTAATGATGTATCTTTAATCTCTAAAATGAGGATGTACCTTGAATCTCTAAAATGATGATGTATATTTAATCTCTAAAACGATGATGTATCTTTAATATCTAAAATGATTATGTATAATTAATCTCTGAAACGATGATGTATCTTTAGTATCTAAAATGATGATGTATCTTTAATATTAAAATCTATGTTATACCGTTAGTATCGATCATTACAGTACAAACGATCGTCTAGTCATAATAATTAAGATTGATCTCGTCAACTGGTATCATAAATAAATTAAATAAAAATACATATAATCAAGATCATTTTGTTTTATTTCACATATATTATAATCGCCAATATATTTTAAAACCCTTTAAGATATTTAAAGCAACATGTACGCGCTGCAACAGGTCTCATCTAAATAACCAAATATCACATATTTTATCACAAACAGCACAACTTTATTGATACAACACTCTTTTGACAGTTGATTTTTAAATAAAAAAATGGGTATCACTTATTCCACGTCATAAAATTTGAATCTGTAGGCATCCCTACTCATCGGCAAAGAAGACTGAGGGTGTAGGCCGAGAGAAAAAGCCGGCTTAAAAAAATCTCGGTACTCTTTTAAAATAGCAACACATCAAAAAAACAAACAAAAATAGCCTGTGTAGCACTAGTCTCAGGCCCTTTTATCAACTAGATAATCGTTAACTTTATAGTAAGCCTTTTTACACAGCTTTTCTTTAATATATTTCTTAAATTTATTAAAAGGTAGAGATAAAAGTGCCTCTGGGACTTTATTAAAGAAGAGTATCCCTTTTCCCAAAAAAGAGTTACTAACTTTAGATAGTCTAGTACGGGGAAATTGCAGACAGAGAATTGTTCCGAGTATTAACATTGTGCGTATGTTCTATTCTAGTAAACTTATCACTGTTTTTGTATACATACATAATATTTTCATAAATATATTGCGAGGGAAAAAAAAATCCTTGAATTTATCTCTTAGAGATTCCCTACATTTTTAAGTTATAGATTGCTCGAATAGCCCTCTTCTACAGGATAAAAATAGTTTTGACATCAGCGGTATGACCCCATAATAATAAGCCATAAGTCATTAAGCTGTGAAAGTAACTAAAATAAACTAGTCTAGCTGTATCGACATGAGTTAGTGAGCGAATTTTTTTAACCGCGTAAGCTGCAGAACTCTCTTCGCCAATCTGTTAATATGAGGGGACCACTGAAGTTTTGAATCTATGGTGATTCCAAGAAATACAGTTGTATCATCCAGTTTCAATTCCTCATAATTGGTCACTAGACCAATTGGATACTAATCCATAACCATAATTGAAGTCTGATCACCTACTTTTCTGTTAAAAAAATATATATTCATGAAACCCCTTGGGGTCTAGCCATATTGGTGTCGAAAGTATTCTACATACACTACCGCTTTTTCGTAATTGTATTGTCGAAAACGCTTCGTTCGTAGCCAAGGGGCATGTCGATACTGATACACTACCGCAAAGTCGACAGCGTAGATTATTAGTAGTAAATTAGTAGTAAATTTGTATGAAAACTTTTCGACACGAACTGTCATTTCCATACAAATTAAGTTTTCGACTTTCTACATACACTACTGTTAAGGCATCTTGACTAAGGCCCCTGCTGTTCGTAGCACTTTATTCCGTCATATTGTCTCTGGATTAAATGCATTCCTAATGTCACTTTTATAAACAAATAAAAGTTAAAACTACAATATTATTGTAAATTTGAAATAATTACAAATTCCAATTATTGGAAGCTGCAAAAGGGTCATTAGAATGTCAGCAAGGTCGGAACAATTTTCGATTTAAGTGGAATTTACGGAAGGTGCAAAGTGAATATATGAATTTTAATTGCATGTTTAAATAAATTATGGTTTGTTTCATGTTTTCTCAGAAATTTAAGGCTACAAATAAATACAATATTTTGAAATTGCATAATCGCGATATATAATAATTAGTGGTACTCATACTTTGATATTTTTAGGATTTGACTTCACAACTTATCTGCAAAATGAAGAAGCAACATATTTTGTTACCGCTTAGAAGAAACAATAGAAATAGTACTGTGGATTGATAAATAAAGAGTGAAAATAAGGTTGACTAGAAGTTGATAAAGTCCAAGGAATTAAAAAACAATAGAAAAAAAACGTAGACTAGTGTGAACACTGAAATTAGAGTTTGATTTAAGCTTTAATTAGGTTTGGTGTTTGTGCTTGAACATTTTTAATGTCAATTTGAAAGCAGATTTATATATAAGTGTAGATTTTATTAGTGATTTGCTACTAGTTGGAATTATCTCTGTTTATGTCCAACAAACAATTTCAGTTTAAGTTAGAGTCATAAAGGTTGATTGTTTATAATATATTTATACTTTTAGAAAGTGAGAATTCAAAAACAGCAAGTACTCAATGAAATGAAAAGAGGGATTATTAAAAATTCTAAAATAGAAACTGGTATGAAATTATAACCCTTAATCAACCTTTGATTCCATATTGATGCTCCAACATCTTAGATATAAATTTAAGTTTGATGCTGATTGTAAGTTAATATTTATGTCAATTAACTTTTGGTTATATCAGTGATTTGCTACAAGTTAATATGTAAATGCAAAATCTGTTTAAGTAAGAAATGAATAAACATTGTATGTTATGTATTTGTCAGTGTTATTTTTGGTAATTTAAAAAGCCATTAAAGTGGTTCACAATATTAGTTTATTTTACAAGAATATACAGATAATGCATATATGAATGACCCATACCTACTAATAGTTAGGAATATTAAACAAACAGGTAGCAAAATAAAAATGTTTCAGTTATGGTTATTTTTTATTAAAATAAGGCACCAAATATCTTCCTTAACATAATGCAGTCTACATAGAAAAATAAGTATATGTAACAACTTATTAAACAATACAGACATTACCACTGAACACACGCAGGTGCACCAAATTAAATGCATTACTACCTAATGTAGATGTATTCATATATGTAGATAATTAACTAATGTAAGTGTTAATTTGCAGCAATGTCAATATCTTGTTTGTGTGCTGTTATATACAAAAAATTGTTCAATTCATAAAACCTAACGTTAGATGTTGTGATGATTTCATAAAATTACTATGATACCTACAGTTACTATGAATACATCCTGGGCAATTAAAAAAATAGTGATTGTTTCCTTAACACAACAATTGTAAATAATAATAGTTAAATTGTAAAGATATAATTCTTCCCAAAATCTACAAATGCAGTTTGTTTATAATAATATCCCATTAACATTCAAACTGCTGAACTTATTAAGATTAAATGTGGAAGAACATAGTTTCAGTTACTGTTTCCTGTTCTTGAGGTAATGTTACTTAACCAACTATTATTTCATACTCCACTTGTCTTATTTTTTACATTATTCATAAAATGCTTCGTTCCTCATTATCAAATTCATTTTCAGGTACATAATATAACACTTTAATTAATTAAAAGATAAGACTAATAAAATTTGTCCATTTGTGGTTTTTTTTAATACTTTTAGTTGTCTTATTAGCTTCTCTTTTTCTGAAAATAAAATATTTTAGTTAGTACTTTGATCAATAGGTAACTTTAATATTAAAAGTCTTTACTTAATTCTAAACTTAAAAATATACTTAATTTGTCACTGTGCTGCTTATTGTCAATTAAAGTTTTTAATAACCAAACAATGTCAGTAACTCCCAAGGGACTTGAATTAAAACTTCTCATTCATTAACAATATTATAATAACTTCTCTAGTATATTAACTTAGTAAATAATTAAAGAAAATACCTGCTTACCATTAAGTACTTAGTATTGCTCACTATATTTTATATTTCCAAAGTTCATGAAGTAAAAATCCACTTTATTTGATTAATTTAAATTTTAAATCAATATTATATCATAAGGTTCTATTATAATTACAATAAAATATATTTAGAACTTCTAATTATGTTCATTAGTGACTGCTTTCTCATCTGAAATATATAAATAATATGTACAATCATTTTACTTTGTGAGTTTGTGATTATATAATATAAGCAATATTAAATGGTATATGTATTTTTCAAATTAAAGAACAATTTCATGAACTTACATGCAATATAAATATCAATAAAAGATATCCAATATAACTAGGATTTACCTCTACTAATTTGCTGATTTTCTTGACATTTTCATATTTATCTGTGTCTATTATGTTATCCTCGCATTGATTCATAGAAAAACTAAAACTCTTAACTTAAAAATATTATATCTAGTTTAAATTATTATAATTACACGAGAACGTTAAAAAAAGACAGATAACAAATTAAAACCATTTCGTTAAAACGTCCAAAATATGACATGTTTTTAAAACGGTAGCCTTTGAGATCACGCTAAAACATGGCGGAGAAACGCCGTTTCTTCTACACTGCCGAAACATTAATTGGCCGTTGGCTACCGAATAGCGTAAGCGTTAATGTGTGTCTTTTCGTAGCACTGTCATGGCGTCGCTTTTTGTATCCCGAGTCCCGACTCAGGCTCTCTTAAGTTGGCGGGGGGAAATTAATTTTTTGCACTTTTTTTGGCTCTATCAACTGTTCTTCATTGTTGTATCAAAAAAAAAATTTTGTTTTTTTTTTTATTATAAAGAAATTGACCCTCAATTTGGCACGAACTATAGATATTTTGATATTTTTTTTTCTAATAGTTTAGAACTATTCAATAACTGTTCGTTCAAAATAAACAACTGTTCGGCTTTCATTATCCTGTAATTTAATAATAATTAACTTTTTTGAAATTTATTTTGGATTAAATCACTGAAGAGTTTCATTAAAAAAAACTTAATGAAATACATTCCTTTGTCTACAAAAAATAATACTATATTTTTCATTAAATTTGCGAAAGTAAATAAAAAAGAGTATTATGCTACAATATTGTTATATCAATATTATCAACATTTCATACTAACTTTCTCAGAAGAAACGATGAATGTTTGTTTATCAAGTGTAATCAATCACTTTTAGTGAAATAAAACAATTAATTTTTAAATAATACTTATGTATAAAGTGGAGTATTTTGTTTATTATCTCTCCATACTCCATACATATATCCACGTCATGGTTAAAATCGAGAAACTATTAATTAATATGAATTTTCACGAGAGCGATAATCAATGCGTAATAACATTTAATTAAGATTGATAAAAAAAAGTTAATTATTATTAAATTACAGGATAATGAAAGCCGAACAGTTGTTTATTTTGAACGAACAGTTATTGAATAGTTCTAAACTATTAGAAAATAAAATCAAAATATTTATAGTTCGTGCCAAATTGAGGGTAAATTTTTTTATAATTAAAAAAAAATGAACAAAAAAAATTTTTGATAGAACAATGAAGAACAGTAACGAACAGTTGATAGAGCTAAAAAAAAGTGCAAAAAATTAATTTCCCCCCGCCAACTTTTTTTTTTTTCCTTTATGGCACCCCCCGCCAACTTAAGAATCATCCCGAGTCCCGACTCACGCCTTTAGGGCCTAGGCTACCGACTGTCGACACGAGCTGTCATTTTCATACAAATTTAGTTTTCGACTTCCTACATACACTACTGTTAAGCCATCTTGGCTGATGCGTAGAGGGGATTGCTGCGCATGTGTACTGTCGCGCGGGGGACCGAATGCGACCGGAGAGCCAATCGAAACTCTTCATTCCGCTAGCCCCCCTCAGGTACCTTATTTTTTACTTCTGCGCAATAACGGTCAGCGCTAGAGTTTCGTGCCGCTACTTGTACGTTGTACCAGAGCCATTAAAAAAAAAACAAGTGTTTATAGTTGCTACTTGCTAGATTGTTATGGTGGTTTAAACAAAAAATCTAAATTGATGTAAAGTTTTGCTTTATTTACCAAAATGAATAAAGGGTATGTTTTTTAAAACCGCGTAATGTAGCTTTAGTTACGAAAATGTTACTAAATCATTTTAAACTATTTATGAATTCATTGTAGACGAACATAAAAAATGGCCGGCAAAAATGTAGTATTTATATTTTCTAGCATTTTAAGTTTATACATTGTTTATTTTATCAACAACTATGATACTATATGTTTTTAATAATACGAAATTTGTTAGGATGTACAATTATCTGTATGTGCACTGTTTCATGAAGATTTATACAATATGAAAAAATAATCGTTACATCTAGTACTTAATTTCAAATATTATACTTAAAATTGTAGCATAGTATAATATATTCTTAACATCCTTGTTGATTGTGTGACTTAATCATTTTCAAATTGTGTATTTTTATTATAACAATAAAGATATTGAACTATTAGAATTACCAATAACAATCTGAATTCCATAAGAATTTACAATTGTTTCATATTGATACTTTAATAATATGTGTTATTTCTTAAAACAATGATTTATATAATTTTGTCCTGTTAATTACAAAAATATTAATTTATAAAGATTTTATGTTTTAATATATAGACGGAATTTTGGAGCTCAAAGAAAATTTGCCGCTGGTGCTTCTGCACCTAATAAGTGTCAAACTCCACGATTGGAAACTCCCACAGAAACCAGGCCTGATCCAGAACCTAAAGTACATTTAGTGAAGAAATCACCATCAGTTCTCCTGGACAGACTTACTTTTAATGGTAAATTATTTTCATATTGACTTACTTATTATTATATACTAGTAGACTTGGCCAAGCGCTGCTGTGGCTAAGATTTTTGTTTTATTACATAGTAGTAAACTATTCAAGAGAAACGGCAGGAGAACACCAATCCACCATGCTTTTTTGGTGGATATGCCATTAAATTGTAGCTTATGTGAAACGTTGGTATTTAATTTGATAAGGATCAATACCTAGGTACGAATAAAGAGCCTTTTCTAACGGTGGTATTTTAATAAAAAAAATTAATTAAAGGGACGCTTATTGTGAGGTATCTATAAAAGGTAGAGACATGCTGTTGCGAATTTTTTTATAGATAGTGATGTGTCCTGAAAAATTGTAATACATCATTTTGTTCTATCATTAATAGTTTTCGCAGCGCACGCGATTGAAGGAAAATTGTAATACATTATTTTGTTCTATCATTAATAGTTTTCGCAGCGCACGCGATTGAAGAAAAATTGTAATACATCATTTTGTTCTATCATTAATAGTTTTCGCAGCGCACGCGATTGAAGGAAGTTTTTTGTTTATTTTTTTACACCTTGGGTTAGATTATTCAAGTTTTAGTAAGCAACCCCTAATTTTTTTGAAAATGAAACATAGCCTATGTCACTTGGGAATAGTGTAGCTTGCCAACGGTGAAAGATTTTTTGAAATCGGTCCAGTAGTTTCTTAGCCTATTCATTTGAAACAAACAAAAAATCAAATGTTTCCTCTTTATAATATTATACATAATGTTTACACAACTTCAAAGAAATATGTTAAACAATTACTTGATGTAAGCTTTGCACAATCTAATATAAAATACCATCATCTTGTAAATATTTTTAACATGAATTATAATTTATTATATATATACAATTATTTTTAAGTTACCTCTTAAATGATAAAGTAAGCAGCAAGAAAAAAGTAGTAAGTATAGTACATTATTAATGTTGTATTTTCTTCTCTCCATATTTTGTATCTTTTGTTAATCAAAAACAAAACTCTTAACTTGATCTAGGCATGTCTAGAAGAAACCCAGGCAATGGTTGTATGTTGCAAACGGTTTTACTGCTGGTGACCAGTAATGACAACTTGGGATATTTCCTCCCAAATTAAGGGGGAATCAATATGTCCAGTAGGTTTTTAGTACTTCTCATATACATTTTGGTTTATTTTTAAAGGGATTTTTTTGAGATTACTTTATTATTTAAGACTCAAACCCAACCAACTAAACCAAATATAAACTTCAACAGTGGCTATAACTGGAATACCAAAAAGGTATAATATTACAAGATCGAAATAACGGTTCATTAGTTAGCATGGTAAAATATCACTTAGGGGATTCCATTTCCGATCTTGGGTAGATATTTTTTTCATCATATATGGCATAATAAGCCAATTTTTCTAACTTTAATTTAAAAGAAATTATTTATTTATTTACTTACAGCCCATGCATGGCCAAATTTAGACTGAAAATAACATGAAACTACAATAAAATACAATTAAGTTATTTACAAAATTGACAGTAAATGCTCTTATCCTCTCCAAGTATACTCTCAAATCACAGTATACTACCCCAATACGCTTCCCAAATGATCATTAATTAATATGTGTTTTTAATTCATATTTGAAATTACGTCTCAAACCCAGTTTACAACAAAAACTTAAGCATTTTTAATCAATATTTACCGTCGTTTTTGAAGTTGGTTCTAGGGGAGATCATAGTCCTACATTCTCTTAGAGTTTTTGTTATAAAATTACCATTGCAAGTCATTTTATTATTTCATAACAATTGAAATTTTGAAAGACTATTAAGTGATTTGGTTTTAATCATGACTCTTTCAAGGTAAATATAAAACACACTGTAGTTTTTATATAAGTCAGTACTGCAATCATTATTATTAAATCAATCATTAATTCAAATTCATGGCTGAAAATGTATGTTCCATAATATTCAGGGTGAGAAATGACTGACAACTGACAAATAGTTGAACATTATTAAATTAACTAATATATTTGATAATGTTCAACTTGGTATCTTTCAATGTTTCTATTAAGTAAAACTGATCTGCTCACTAAAATAGAGATAGTAGCCTATTGTAGATTTCTTTTTACAACTATGTATTTGAAATACTTTAACTGGAGAACGAATAAAAATTTTACAGATGTACATAAGCATATTCAGCCAGTGGTGGTACTAAAACGACTACAAACAAGCCAAGTTACTAAAGCTCAGGTACACCAGACTGTGAAATTAGCTACTTTCGCAGGTAAGAATTAACTTACTTTTTGATTTTCAATAAGGTTTAGATAAATTTGTTTTTGCAATATCATTGAAATACCAATAACAACTAGTAACTACATTTAATATAAATTAAACATTATCAAAATTAGTATAACAGCCATTATCTGTATTAGATTTTGAAATTTTTAGATGACCGAGAAGACAGTTATGATTCTCAAGCAAGTGGTGAGACCTCACTAACTGAAGATACTTCCTCAAATGGTTACAATGATTTGATCACTATACAGCATTGTGTTACTCCAGATCCACAATTCAATAAAAGAAGTATCTCTATATCTTCAACTAGTGATGATGAAAAACCAATTCAAAAGAAAGCAAAGACTAGTGTTTTGGATGAAACTGTTCAAGAATTTTTTGGCTCTCTTAGAATTCCACTTCGAAAAAAAATAAAAACAATCGTTTTAGATGCACCTGTGTTTCGACCGACTGTTGATGAATTTAAGGTCAGTATTCAATCTATAGATATTTAAATTGACTTATGATATAAATGTAACAAGTGTGCATTTGTCAGCAGTGCCTAGCTAATGTCATTTTTAAGCGAGCAACTATTCATCTACACTAATTTAATAAAATACATTTCTGTATTAAATAAAAAAGTATTGTGAAAACAAAGCTGGCTCAGTGGCTTTGTTGATTGAGTATTATAAATGCTTGTCCAACATTAAATCCCATTCACTAAAATATGTGGGAAGGAACTCACTTATAAATGCGTCCATGTTGTTACAGGTGCAAAAATGTGTCTCATAGTTGTAAGAAATTTAACTAGAAACGGTTCATGTAACACATACGGCGGGTAGCCGCTTCTTCTTTTTTAATTATAAAGCCATCTAGTAATATGTAGACCAATTACAGTAATATTTTTTTAATTGTATGTAATATATTGCATTTCTGCAATATATTACTGCATCATAATTAACTTTACATACAACTTTAAGTTAGAACTCCAAACAATTGGGGTTCAACTTTGGCAACTTGAAAATAACAAATAAACAAACAAAATATTTATTGTAGTAGCATAAAACATAAATAACAATACTGTGTAACATACACTTAAGTTGGGCAATCCCATAGAGAAGGAGATGCACTCAGCTATTGCTCACAATGATCATCATATTGGAATGATGTAGCCCTGGTTTAAGAATATATTGAATAGATAATGATTGTGTTTTAACCTGATTCCAGGATCCACTTACATACATAGAGAAAATATTACCAAAAGCATCTAAATATGGGTTGTGTAAAGTAATACCACCAAATGGATTCACTCCACCCTGTAATCTTGACGAGACAATGGGCTTTACTGTTACCAATCAATATGTCCAACGAATGTTCAAACGATATGGCCCTGCTACAAAAGAATTAAGTTCTATCAAAGCCCTCTTAGCATCACAGAAAGTGCCATTCAAGCGCCCACCTTTAGTAAGCGGCTTGGAAGTTGACTTACCACACTTATTCAAACTAGTGCAAAACATGGGTGGCCTGAAGAAAGTAACAAAACTACCACAATGGAACAAAGTGGCCGAACACTTGAAATGTTGTAAGAACTTGAAAAATCCTGGGCAGAAAATAAAACAGATTTATGAAAAATATCTACTTCCATATGAAGTCATGACGTCGGTAGAGAAACTAAATTTGACATTTCAAGTAGAGCAATTGTGTGACAGACGATATTCAAAGATGTATAAGCGAGCAAAAAGTCCTTTGCACACACAAAAACAAATGTTGAAGCAATGTGACTCGACAGATAATGATTCGTCTGATGAAATCTCAATAAAGGATCGGATCATATATAGTGCTCTGGCTGAGACTGAAGATTGCATTGTTCCCGGTCGGAATATGAAAATCCAGGCATTTGAAAAAGTAGCCGAAGTCGCTGCTGAAGCATTTTTGTCATCCCCAAGTCAGACAACAAGTGTGATAGAGAAAGAATATTGGGACGTTGTTTTGTCAAGGACAAAGCATGTGTGTGTTAATGCGGCTTCAATAGATACAGGTGCCACGGATTATGGTTTTCCAAATAATGATTCAGCGGACCATTATAATACACATCCATGGAACATGAAGGTGAGCGATCATTTTGAAACTCAATACTCTTAATAAGTTTATGTAATTTTAATATTTAAGAAAAAATATATACAATTTTATTAAATAATGATATAACGGAACGTTATACCTACCTAACACCGTCGAGTGTCATAAACGGAATTTTGAGTTGTCATATTTTACGAGAGTCGCACGCTGAAGCCACTAGGCCACCACTGCTCACTAGTTAGTAGTATTAGTTGTAAATACTGAAGTTTTTCCGAACCAATTTGACTTAGAATCCTTCAAGAAATCCTCTGGCATTGAGAGTGCCCATGGGCGGCGGTATCACTTAACATCAGGTAAGCCTCAAAGCCATTAGTCCACTGTTCTTAAAAGAAAATTGTTGACTGGCAGGGTATGTTATAGGGGCTTTGCTTTGCCTTGATGAATGTTGAATTTAAATTTTCAAAATTCTTAACAATTAGATGTGCGTTGAAACAGACACTGACACACTTGATACGTATACACTTTCAGCGTATTAGTAGGAACCCAAAAAATATGCTAAGTTTCCTTGGTCCGGTGGTGGGAATGACTGCGCCTACATTGCATTTGGGAATGCTATTTTCGACGAGTTGTTGGCACAGAGACCCCCATGGCCTCCCGTGGATCGAGTATATGCATAAGGGAGTGCAGAAAGTATGGTATGTGGACGTGTGTACAATATTAATTTCTTTCTTGATTTAAATAATATACGATACAATACGTATTACCTTTTCTTTATTTATTTGAATTTTTTTAAGACAAGTCTTCAAGATCAGCCTTCTGTGTCTTGTAGATTTTTGGAGTTTAAAAAATTATTTCTCATGATCGTAGAAGCAAGTGTTAAGTGGTAATTGCTTTCCTCGCTCAACGAATAAGTATAGCAATACAGTGAGGAAATGTCAGCATTAAAGGCACACAGCCACAAGGACAAAACTTTTTAATTTTTTTTTCAAGATAAGTAATGCTAAGATTGTTCAAACGCATTCCAGGTATGGCATTGATGACACGCAAAGCGAGAAATTTCGCAAAGCAGTTGAAAAGTTGTGCCCAGCTTTCTCCCAAAATAAATCTGTTTGGTTGCCATCAGATATAGCGATGATTCCACCGAAATTATTACAGAGGAATTCGGTGTCTCTTTGCCGTGTTGTGCAGAATCCGGGCGAATTTATCATAGTTTGCCCAAAAGCATATTCGTCTTCTATTGCCACTGGCTACACAATTTCCGAAAGTGTGTATTTTGCTACGTTGTCCTGGATTCAAAGTCTTGGTGAAACGTTTGATGTAAGTTTATTGTTTGTTCTAGTTATTTCAGTTGGTATTGTATAACTGGGAGGTTCTATTTGGAGTATGTAAAAGAAAAATATAACAAAGCAGTACATATAATAAAATGGTCATTTTGGTGTGTCAAATTAAATATATTAGAATTAATAATATTCATCTTCATAGTGTACTTTATAATTTTTATTTGATAGCCCATTTCACTGAATGTTTTAAAATAAATTATGGATTTATTAGTTATATATAGTAATTTTATATACACTTACCAATAAACATCTCACAACATTAACACTATTTAAAATATTCTTAAATCAATAAACTTCGCTGAGACGAATTTAAAAAAACCCTAAAAATTACAATTGTAATGTCTGAATGGGATTTTTTTAATGAATAATGTGCCAAACAAAATCAATTTATTGAAACAAGTTTAATTTAATTAAAAGAGGTGTTTAACAACTAGTTCACACTCTCCATGGTGAAGATTAGAGAGTCTCACAGACGCCAAGGGATCAAGCCACTCGGAAAGTGACTGATCGTTGATGATTCGAATCGCTCTTCCTTCAATACGGTCAAGTGGCAGGGGCTGGTGCTGGGGAGTACCCGCTCAGTGACAACAGAAATCCCATGTGCTTTATACCGTTGCAAGCGATGGCCTGGAGTGATGTACGGTCTTGCTTAGCACACCAAGCTTTTTGGAGGCTACTTTAGTCTTTCCCTCTAAATTACCGCGAAACGGAACGTCGTTCAGTACGTACGTATCATTGCCCAGTACCCCGGTGCTGGCTGAAGCTTTAAGGAGAGTGTCTTTGAAGACAGGAGAAGCGACGAAGTATTCTTATTTTAGCGGAAAGTTATGTCTTCTTTCGACTTCAGACACAAGGGGAACAGAGGGCTGGCAGACATTCACTTGGACAGCTTTTGCAAGAGACCAAAAGGCTTGAGTCTTCAAAGGGATACTTATTCGCCAAATCCGGGAATGTGCTCAAATTTTGCCCTAGCGATCTCCCGTTTGAAGAACCTGGAGGCTGAGTCATATGCTTTTTTAAGTTCACTGGTACCCGCATCGCAAGACGTCTTCCGGTTCTACCCAGTCTCTACACCGTAAATTTGCCCCCCCCACCCCAAGAATACAAGCCTGTGGGTCCACAGCGAAGTGGTCCCGGAATCCTCAACAGTGACCGCGTTTGGTACCCCCATGGGGTAGTCTCTCTTCTTATTTGTTTGGGAAAACTCGCGAAACGTACACACAAAATTTAAGTGCAATTAGGTTATGCCGTATCATTTCAAGCCGATTTTCTATGAGACAGTGGTTCTGCCCCGGTCGTGCCAGCCCATGTGGCTGAAGCCAGATGACAACAGCATGGCAATTCCACTAGGAAAGGGGTTGTCTGATTGCCAGTGGGCGATGGGGTAGTCACGTCCCTCCGCCAGATAAATATTGACATGTATAACTTTATTTAAACTTAAAGTTAATTAAATTAAGTTTAATTTGTTTTGCAGACATTAAAAAGCAGTTGTGAACCAACAATGTTTTCTCTTGAGCAACTGTTATTTGCTTTCGTAAAAGATGCCCGTACGCCGCCGTCGGTTTTAACAGCTATTGAGCCAATATTAAAAGAGGTTCTCGACAAGGAGATCAAAAACAGACAGAATTTGGAAAAATTGGGCATACCTGTGAGTCATTTTATATACACAAAATTAACTATAATTTGGTAATAACACTAAATTTCTCGACTTATCTCTTATAAGTTATTTTTTAATAATATAAATAATTGTTATTGGTTCTCTTTTATACACTAATATGAATGCAAGTAAAAACTTATCACTTATATCAAAAATTACCAAAAACATTGTTCGAGAAAAGGCGTACATTTTGCTCACTCAGATTTCCTTAGTTTTAATTCGCGTGGCGACTTCCTTAATCATCAAGAGTTACGCCCCGTGATAGACGCAGGCACTCTCTTTAGCAATATGTGGGTCACACTGAAAATGTTTAGATCTGGCCAGTTAAAAACATTGCTAATGAAAACTTTTTTGAATTTCAATTTTAGAACTCTTTGGTATTACCTAATGTATTGGTATGTTATCTAAAGCTGGCGGCTTCAACACATTTACACTTTGTGCTAGTGTAGTGTCTGTGAATAAGCGCGAGGCGTTATGTCAAACTGAAATCATCATGCATCGGCATCATGAAAAGACTGTCCGTCTCTCTCGCGCTCGGTCAAGCTTATGAGTATAAAAGAGACAGTTATTGTTTTGCTTTTGCTACTGTTTATGTTGATCTTTACTGTACATGTTGATCTTTTTTCTCATTATTATTTTGTCTGTGATTGTTTACTTATTTTTAAAAATGTCTTATGAAATATATTCCGTCTAAACATTACCAGGACAATCTCGTAAAATGGTGCACAATGTTTTTAATTATTTTAAGCATCTTAATAAAAACAGTTTAATGAAAAAAATTTATTTTTAATTTGACATCAGATGCGACTGGTGTTTCTAAGAGGAGTATTGAAAGAATTGTTAGTGAAGTAAAAGAAGTGTGTTGAGCTAGATGGAGCTTAGGTCGAAAAGTTAAAAATTATTTACACAAACTACTCTTTTACGTTCTTGGTCAGGCTTAGAACTTTTGGATCCACCCTCGTATGCACATAATATTTGTATGTATTTGACACATTTTTATTTATTTACAACCCACCCAACCTTACTAAAACCAGAGTAGACTAAAATATATAGCTTGGCAAAAAAAGTCATATTTTTAAACATACTGTATAGTGAAATTGCATTAGTGTGAGTACGGTGAACGCGCCAGCTTTCGATAACCGACGTATAGTATATTGCATTCATTTGTCATTTGTTTTTGTGTATTGGCGGCAAATCTAAAACTTGTTACACGTGAAAATGAACCTAACGCCAGAAAGTTTTCGGTTAATGATTTATTATGAGTTTCCTTGTGGGCTTACTCAACAACAAAGCTATTATCATTTCTTAATGAAGCTCCATCGCGTGCCACTTTTTACAATTGGTTTAACGAGTTTAAGCGTGGACGTAGCAATCTCAATGATGATCCGCGTGAGGGACGTTCTTTAACGGCGACTACTGAAGATAACATCAGTGCTGTGCGACGCATGATAGAGGAAGATAAGAGAGTGACCTATTAGCAGATACGGGCAAACCTAGGCATTGGTATGAGTCAAGTTCAAAAAATATTACACGAACATTTAACCGACGACCAGAAACACCTTCGCATGGACTGGTGTCACCAAATGTTAGATAAGTTCAACGGCGGTGACTCAAATGCTGTATTTGACATCGTCACAGGTGATGAAAGCTGGATATATTGCTACGAACCCGTAACCAAAAGACAATCAGCTCAGTGGATGTTTAATTTCGAGGATCGGCCAACTAAGGTAAAGAAAGGAAGATGGAAAAAAGATGATTGCGTCATTCTTTGGTCGGAAAGGTTATTTCTCGACAGTTATGCTAGAAGATGAAAGGTCAGTTACTGCAGACTGGTATGTCAATCGCTGTTTGCCTGTTGTCTTGGAAAAAATTCGACAGCAGCGCCCTCTAATCAGGATCGTCCTTCAACACGACAATGCTTCAGCGCACTCCGCAAAACGGACTGTTGTATATTTTACTATGGCAGGTGTCGAGAGTCATCCGCCATACAGTCCTGACCTGCGACTTTCATTTATTCCCAAGACCTAAACTTTCTACATAAAGCCGTTTTTCATTTTCTAAACATATTCAGTGTTACCTAGGTATTATCATTAGCACGTATACAGTGTGTAAACAGTGTGAATATAATAGGTTGGGGAAAAAGTTTCTTCGCATTTTTTCATTTTTTAATATAGTTCATTTACATTTAACTAAAGTATGTAGGTACCATTTTGTTCGATAACTTCTTGCCATCTTGTAGGTAGGGACATGATCCCATTGCTATAGAAATTTTGGGGCTTCTGATCAAAATACCGCGACAATTGGAACCTAATAGATAATATACAAATACATGTAGTGATCATATACTGGTACATGATCATCTATTTTTTTTACCTTAGTAATAATTAATTTGCAAAGAAGTTTCACTTCTGACATTTGTGCTTTATACGCACGCACTTTTTTTAGCCTTAAGATTTTTTTTAAATTATATTTAAATTCGTGTAAACAAGTGTATCTCTAGATAAATTGACTGATACTCGGATACATCGTTCCTAAACAAACATTTTGTCCCGTCACATATTTTTTCTGCCCCATGACCCATACAGATCCACTAAGACAAAATATAAAGCGTTTTTTTTTTTTAGAAAGAGTGGCTCAAACCATCTAAACCGAGTGTATCAAGTGCTTGGAATGTATGCGACCAAGACGAGTGCTATATATGCCGGATGACTTTATATTTATCGAGGGTAATGAACATTTTCTAATATTTAAATTTCAGATTCAGAGTCGAAACTTAGCTAATAAACTTGGCATACGGGTGTCAATTAGCAAGGCTCTATTTTGTAATAAAGCCTTTTCGCAGTGCGAAACGTTCGTTGATTAAGAGTTATGTAAAATAAAATAAAAACACTGTATTATTATTGACAATTTTCTTACTATAAACGGTGATCTATTCGATGATTCGAACAAAAAAATCAGATTTTTTTGATAAAAACTATAATTTTTTTGCCTGTGGCGCTTTTAAATTAGTTTTTATTGTTTTGACCCTTTAAGTTTACTTTTGTTTGCTAATATTTGCTTTAGTTTTGTGTTAAGATAATATTTTTGGTAGTTGTTACGCAGACATTACTGCCGTAACACGTATTTTTACTCGTTCGTTCTTATTAAGCCAAAAACCGCGAGCGTTTTACGTTTTTTTTTATAGTTATACATTTAACTTTTTTTATATATATTTAGGTGCGAGGCGTTTTAGATAGAAATTCCGTGTTGTGTCCGGAACACGCGCTGAAGATATTGGCACAACCAAAGAAAAATCATTTGATAAATGAGAGTAAGCGCCTGTCGTTCATAATTATGTACAGCACGAGTGAGCTTGAGGATCTTTTGGAGTTTCTCAAAGATCGTCTGAGGAAAAGTTAGCGTAAGTCGATTTTTTATATAAAAATCTTGCGTGATACCCATTGTTTGACATTAGGTTGTTTTGACCCTACAATATTTTGACTGTTCTATGGGCATAATAATACTAACTCTTTAAAAACTCCTGAATATATTTTGATGAAACGTGGAGTCGAAATACCTGATTTAAATCAAAGGATTTTCTGTGACAAAATTTTTGTATTACACAGTATTTAGTTAAGTTTTTCAGTGAATACATTGGGTTAGAAAATTATTTATAATTCGCACGGCCTGAGACCACGAGATTCGGTTGCTATGTTAAAACCGATAAAATTTTCTTCTTTCAGATAACATTCGAGAATGCGTGGTCCGTCTGCATTATGGACAAATAGACCAGGCATTCTACAGCGACCGAGTAAGAGAAAATTAAAATTTACGTTAATATTTTCACGGTCGCTGATGATTATCTTTACATATGATTAGTATTCGGCTGCTCGGCCGGATATTGGGCAAGTGATTGGCCTGTTAAATCGTACACGTCTCATGTTGTGTGTGTGTGTGTCTTAATATATCGTGTACCTTCGTATAAAGAAAAGTAAATTATTGATTTCCTAATATTCTTATCTAATATATAAAATTCTCGTGTCACAGTTTTCGTTGCCATACTCCTCCAAAACGGCTCGACCGATTCTCATGAAATTTTGTGTGCATATTGGGTATGTCTGAGAATCGGACAACATCTATTTCTCATCCCCCTAAATGTTAAGGGTAGTCCACCCCTAAATATTTTTATTTTATTTTTAGATATTTTTTTCTGATTTTATTTTTTTATGATACAGCATTAAAAAATACATACAAACCCCTACTTTCACCCCTCTACGATCAACCCCTATTTTTTTATTATAAATGATATATATGGCAAAACGACGTTTGCCCGGTCAGCTAGTTATTCTATAAGATAATATTTCTTTAGTTTACATATATTTTTTAGCTTTTTAAGTAAATCTCTTTGCAGCACAATTTTACTGTAGTTAAGTTAAAACTGTAACTGTCGAGCCAAGGCAGTACAGTTGCTGACTCCGGCTTTCCTTTTCAACTGTTATCCATAATTTCCCTATAGCACCCCGATGCCCAGGAACCGTAGAGTAACCCTGTGCTGTTAGAGAGTTAATTGTCAAAGTCGACTCATTTAAGTATTTGTTAAATGTTAGAATCCTCTAACATTTAACAAATAAGGTGAAGGTATTTTGAATTTTCTGAAGTAATAGATATGATAGACATGTAAGTTTAAATTATATGATGATTAAATGTCCTTAAAGTACATTAAGGGTCTGTTTCACAATGTATGGATAAAGTACCAAATAGCTATGCAACACATAAATTATTTGGAAGATAAATTGTGCTATTTGACACTTCATCAAACTCATAACTTATGATGGACTTTATGTGACGAATAGCGCTATCTGACAGTTGTGAAACGCAACAATAGTGTTTATCTTAAGGTGCGCTTACACGAGGGCAATAATTGCTCGGCGATGGTACAAATGGACCGATCTGGAGCAATTTCAATAAATTTATAAAAGGTATAATAAATTTTTCATAACTTATCCGTACATTGTGAAACGGACCCTAAGTCTGATAAAAGAAGTGTAATGAATAAGTAACGTTTATATTGATATGATTATCCGGTTTTGTAATAACCTAATATATGATTAAGAATAAAATTGTGGTTTTATTTTCCTTGGGTAATTTTTGACACGGTGCGTGTAATAACAGATAGTTATTTTTGTTTCACCCCACATTTGAGATTGTAAGTATAATCTTATTGAAGTGATGAACTGTCCATGAAACAATTTATCTTACTTATCTTTCTGGACGGACGCACTGAAAGGTCGCTAGTAGCCCTCACCCACGTGCCATCGATACTAGAGTCAAGAACACGGACGGGATGAGCGGGGAACAAATTAAACAGAAGGAGTCATTCGAACGAGGGCAGCACTTAAATTATGGCACAGGATTACACGTAGAGAAAGACAGACATAACATTTCTTACTAACTAAACACACAATATAACAATAACCAAGAAAAAAAGAATGAGAGGTAAATTTTTTTTTTCTTTTAAAGAAAAAGGTACATTTTACGTGTGTTCTGTGGTTTTAATTGGCCCTGTCTCAGCATTATGTTGAGGAGCAGACTATTCCACAGCGCTGGTCATTCTGCCAGAGACCACAGCAGCTAATTTGCCGCTCAGTCGCAAAAAAAGAAAAATAATAATAATATTAGTAAAAGTTAGCAATGTAAGTAATGAAGTCTTGTGTAAAAGTGTATAGTACATAAAATATAAGAATAATTGTTAAGAAATAGATAAATAAATATTTTTGGGAGGTTTAAAAACTAGATTTCGTGAAATTCTTGTTAAGTCAGTAGAAAATATAGTTAGGAAGATCACTAACTGTCAATTACCTAATTATTGTCATCTAATGACAAAAACCGATTGTTGACAAAGCAGTCAACGAGAACCTGAGCAATTACTGGAAAGCACGTACTGAATATAAAAAAAAACAGAACCTGCGGATAATTTAATAAAAATGGCGACCCCAGCATTCATATTGTTCATTAGTTCGTTGGCATCATCTAATTTGGACTAAGTTCGACCCCTCAATCGAATTGAGGGCCATAGCAGTTTCCTCTTGTTACACCCTCTCTCGCAAATGAGGCGAACATCGGGGTGTGACCAGATTTCATTTGACGAATCTACTGCTCGTGGAGGTTAAAAACTACTGAATTCTACCGAAAGGAACGAGAAAATACAAAAAAATCTATTATATTTTTTTGCTGTTGGTTTACAACGTAAAACATGAATTTTCTTGATTAAACGATAAAATAATAAAAGTAGTAAAGATTAATTAAAGAAGCGAAGTTTTTTTTTAATTTAATTCTTACTACAATTTTTTTTTAAATTAATAATAATAAAATGAAACTTAAAGCTAAGATTTTTCGTCGTTATGTTGGATATTGTCATAAAGCTGTTTTGAGTCCATTAGCTTGATCATACTTTTGTCAGGATCAAATCTGCTACATCCTCCTTCCAACTGTCGTAGCCCCTCTTTTCCATGCATAATTGCAGCAACATTCTTGTTATTAAAACGATTTCTATCTTGACTTTTAATTCTATTAATATCGGAAAATATTCTTTCAACTTTGGCGTTAGACAGAGGTAGTATTGTCATTTGCTTCACAAACCGGGCCAAATTGCCATATTTTGGTTTGCTATTCGCATCGCAAATTTGGCTGACCTCACTCCAAAATTTATCCACCATAAAATTTTCAGAAGTTGAACTCGAAGTTGACAATAAATTAGACACGGAAACATCTAATTTTAATTCCCTATATTCGTTGTCAACAATTTGCATATTTTCTGTTGTAACTAAGTTAGGAAACCTTTGTAGTATTTTTATTAGAGTTCGAAATTCACCATACACTGCCTTTTGGGGATCGATAAACGACAAATCCTGCAAGAAATTATCTTGTACAGGCAGTCTTTGGAGAAATTGGTAACAGTTTTGAATACCATCGCACTTTTTTTGACGATACTAATTATTTAGGAGTCTCGGAGGACCTTCATTGGAACACCTCCAAGTGAGTTTTGCTCCGGAAACGCGTCAAAAATTTTATAAAGATTTATAAAGTAAACTTTGCACTGTAAAACTAATTACCGCTAGTCTAGCATAAACCACATTCAAAATGGCCGATTAAGTTTATAAAATTAATAGGGATGTGAAAAATAATCGATTTTTTAAAAAAGTGAAAATCGATTTTTGTATTCGATTTTAATATTAAAAATAATTGAAAATTCGGCGACCAAATATTCATATACTAACTCTAACCTAACCAATCTAAATAATATTTGTTTTTGTGGACAGCTCCGATCTAAATAGTAATTGTTTATTCAAGCCTCGGCTTCTCGGCGTCCTGGTCGCCTTCGGCGACCAAATATTCATATACTAACTCTAACCTAACCAATCTAAATAATATTTGTTTTTGTGGACAGCTCCGATCTAAATAGTAATTGTTTATTCAAGCCTCGGCTTCTCGGCGTCCTGGTCGCCTTCGGCGACCAAATATTCATATACTAACTCTAACCTAACCAATCTAAATAATATTTTTTTTTGTGGACAGCTCCGATCTAAATAGTAATTGTTTATTCAAGCCTCGGCTTCTCGGCGTCCTGGTCGCCTTCGGCGACCAAATATTCATATACTAACTCTAACCTAACCAATCTAAATAATATTTGTTTTTGTGGACAGCTCCGGCGCTACGGGAAATGCAGCCCCTCCACCCTTGCGTACCAAAGCACAGGCATTTTATTCAAGCCTCCGCAACCTCGGCGACCAGCCTCAGCCGCTGCAGCTTTCATAATGTCTGTGCTTTGTTACAGCGGGTGGGGGCTGCTCTTCCTCCGCGCCTCCGATTATTTATATACACTCTAGGGGTAAGACAGACAAGACCACGTGGATAGTGGGTTGCTCTGATTCGGTTTTGGGTACTTTTTTGGATATTAAAGTAAACACTTTATTCTAGTAAAAATTAAATAATATAGAAAGTTGCAAACAATGAAATACAAGTACTAATTAGAAAATACAGACGAGTAGGTATCGATAATTTCAAAAAAATTTCGGAACCCTATAATCTATCAACACGAAATTAGGTTAATTTCAATGTTGATTATTCTATAACTTTAAATTTCAAAAATGAGGAAATAATCGATAAATAAATAAAACGATTATTAACAATCGATAAATTAAAAACACGATTTTTTTAAGTGAACGTCACATCACTTATAACCAATAGAAAAGTAGAAAATGGCGGATTGTTTACAAATTTTAATACATTACACAAAACTTTAAATTTTTTATAAAAATATTTAGACGCGTTTCCGGAGCAAAACTCACTTGGAGGTGTTCCAATGAAGGTCCCCCGGACACTCCTAGATAATTAGTATCGTCAAAAAAAGTGCGGTGGTA